GCTGCGGTCATTACCACGTCCCGAGGTATACATTATAATATTACATGTAGGCCGGATGTCACTTGGTTATCAGTACACGCAAACCACGGGCCTCAATGTGATACATAATATGTAATGATAAATACCTCTGAAGCAGACATGGCACATGTTATTGTTGTAGCTGCTACATTCAGGGTGCTTTGTGCTAGAGTCAGTATGTTTGTAAGATCTGGTGATTTATTTGACGTCACAACATCACTAATCAAAGAGGTTATGCTGATGATAACAGCTGCTACATTTTGAAAAAAATGAAGAAGAATAACAAGACCATGTCTTTGGTTAAACGCTAAAATCACAATTCTGTTCACAGCATGAACTTTTTTCAATGTGTTGATTTTCATTATACTACTCACATTGAATAGTCTTACTTTAACAGCCATATTATTATATCTCTTCATGGAATTCATTGCTTGATTCATAACTTGAAAGCGATAGTGAAAAAGTAAATTTGTTAGGCAATAATACCAATTAAAAAACAAAGTGTAAATTGCAAAGACAACACTAAACATAGAAAATACCAAATTAAGATTCGAATCTCTGTTCTTTTTCTCCTTCAAATAGAAATTCAATGTTGAATTTGTAACAGCATAGAATAAAACCAAAGTATGTGTGGTTCTTAAGAGTTTTTTTATCCAAATAAAATTTATTTTTTCACCAATTTTGAACAAAAGTTGATCTGCCGTTACTACCTCCAATACATTTGCTTGGAGCTGCTGGCCGTTTTCATTGAAAGAGTTCACAATCAGTATAAGTGGCACAGCACATTCTATAGCCTTTTGCAAACAAAGAGTCACGAAAGATACCGTGAAACTGTGGTAATGCAGGTGAATCAAGGCAATTGGAATATTGCAAGAAAAAAATAATATTAGAAGTAAGGAATAAAGAGAAGGTAAAAAGTTCAACTTCTTTGGCAGATTTGGATTTTAAGGAGACAATCCCAAAGAATTTACTGTGATGAAAAGAAGTCTCCCCACAGTTGCGTGCATGTGCAATATTTTCTCTATTGTGTAAGATATCATTAATAGGTGACAAAACCCTACAGGGATTTAAAATTGAAACTAAATTTCAAGAACAAACACAACATGAAAACCAATTCTTTTAGTACCAGTAATGTAATCAAGTTATTGAATGTTGTAATGGTAATGAATAATAACTTGGTTATGCAATTAGACCCTTCAGTCTTCATTGCACTGTCAAATGATAAGTGATAACTTATAGGGGTAGAAGTAGAGCTGATAATTCCCTATATATTTATATATTTATAAATATAAATTAAAATTTAAATAAACATAATCAGCAATCTTACACATACTCCCTCTCATAATCTTGGCAACAACCCTTATCTTTAAAAAGTTCTGCCTTCATTTGGATATAAAATTTCTTCTGGGAAAGATAAAATATGAATTACTCTAATTTAAAAATGACTTTTTTTCATATCAAAACCATTAATACACTTAATAAACTCCTCTCTCATTTCAGGCATATTTCCACCCAAAATAAAGTTATTCCCATATTTTAAAAAAAGGTAATCCTAAAGATCCATCATGCTATCACCCCATTGCAATCTTACCTGCATTTTATAAAATTTATGTAACTGTAAATTTATAACTAATACTATATGCTCAATATACATAGGTATTTTTCTATCGGTCTACATTTGAGATAAATTAATTCAAATTAGGTTAAAGTGCTATATACAGAGTGCAAAACTTCATCTACAGCACACGGACAAATAAAAATGGCTAATTGCAATACAGTATTTCTATGAATATCATACCTCAGAACTGGTTGAGTAACATGCTTTGATTAGTAAACACACTACCATGACAAAGTTTTGGAAAATGCCAAATGTCAATATAGCTACAAAGATTTCTTCAGAAAATTTTCCACCAGTGTTGGCTAATGTTTGCATAAACAAGTTCAACAAAAAGTATATATAGAGGGTAATAACTGAAACGCTTTGTCCAAACTGCATCAGCATTACATGACCGAATCGTTTGTTGAAACCCACTATTGTCTCTCGGTAAATGGAATGGGCTAGTTTCAGCGTCTGTATTTTTGCTATTTTTCTTAACTGATAAGGTTTGACCTTGATTACTCTTTCCTTAGACTCGCGTTTATTTTCACCTAAATTCCTCATTTCATCATTCAGCATTTGAAATCTGTATTTGAACAGCAGAAAAGCGGTGGCGAAGTAATAAACGAGATAAACATTGTAAATCAGACTTAGACTGGTTATAATCGCAAACGTTACACTGCAATAGATGTTCATAATATCTTTAAGTGCTAAAGTAAAATGATAAATGATTATTATCAATACACTTATAATGTAAAATGTCTGACCAAAGAAGGAAAACTTTACATATTTTTTCATTTTATCAAACCAAACTTCGATTCCTACAGAATACAGACATTGGTCTACGTAAACAAGGTCATCGAGATTTACCGGGTAGCTTCTGTCGTTCAGGGCTCCCAGAACCACAACAGCTGGGATCAGATTCTCACCCAGCTGTTGTAACAACACTGCGAGAATCGGAAATGAAAATTTGAAATAATTCTGCATGAGATACACACTCAGGGGTACATGGATGATAAACCAAATCATTAAAATCATCGCGTAAATGATTGGCAGGAATCTCAGTTTGTCCGGGACTTCTGGATTGTACGGAGAGAGTCCTAAGCAGTTGACTATCCACATCAGGATGGTTATCATGTCCATGGTCTTGTGATAAATTGTTGAGTAGGAATACATTTTAAACTGTGAGAGAAAACCCAGTTCACTGTAAAGTGGTTAAAGACTAGGGACAAAACTAATTTCACTTGAATAACTAATAATCAATACTCATTACTTTACCCCTGGGACCAATTTAGCCTTCTATTTAAATAACCTTTGTTACATGGATATACTTATAAAAATATAAAATCAAAATACAGTAGACCGGTACTTGAGAAACTTCTTAGTGAATAGTGGAGGATGAATAGTAAGGGAAATAATATTAAAATTCCATATACATTTGATTATGAAAAACATCTTATATAAAATAAATACCTTCTTTGGACGAGTATTTTATGATGCATTGATGGAACATTATTTACAATACTGTCCTCCTGTCAGAGTACTCGTCAGCTTTTTATGAACATTTAATAAAAGACATGAAGATCGAGCCTTCGCATGGTAAAATATATTACAGCACGTCTCAAAACCATTTTTTAATATAGGTACAGTTGCAAATAGGTTAATATGTAGGACGGTGGCAATTTGAATTTAGTGAACAAAGATTCTGTATGCTTGTTAAGTCAAATTAGTTTTAATTTTTGTTTTAACTAACTACTTGATTTACCACATACCTCAAATATTAAAGGGGCAATAGAGACATTACTATTTTTTTTTTCTCAATATTATTATTTTTTTTTTTTTGTGTCTTACTGTTAGATCTGTAAATGTTTTACTTTTAACTGGCTTGAGTTAAAACAGCAGTTGACCAACCAATAAAATCAGAGTCTCCTCAAATACAACGCTGCATCGAAACAAAGGTGGCAACGACGCCTAAAGAAATACAATAAGGTCACCATTTCAGTCATATTATGCAAATATACTGTAACAAAAGAACAAATCGTAATTTGTTACTAAAATCTAGAACCCACAGTTCACTGTTCAATGCATCAAAGATTTTAACAGTTTTGAATTTAAGTGAGGTAATTAGTGTGGAAAACTAATTAAATCAAAGCTGTTATCAAGGAAAACAAAAATTAGACCAGTACCTGTATATGGAGGGGAAAATTGTATCCTGAGCAAAAACACGGAAAAAATTATAACCTTTGAGAATAAAGTTCTAAGAGCTATTATATGGTCCAGTGTGTGAAGATGGAGTATAGTAGCCAAGACACAGAGACATACACCAGCACAACACACGACATGCCGCCAATTTTTCCCTCCCACAACACCATCTGAGTCTGTACGAGAAGAAACCATCCTACAAAGGTGCTCTGTACTTTAACAACCTACCAGAGCACCTCAAGAGAGAACAACCCAATCTGCTCAAGAAGCACCTGACAACATGGCTTATGGACCGGCCGTTCTACTCTGAGGATGAATTCTTAAACAATAAGCTACCATGAAAAAAAGAAGAAAAAGAAGAAAAAATTCTAATTGTAATTGCAAATTACTGTAATAGTTCACGTACATACTGTACATTTTATGTACCTGACGCATGAATGTTCTCTAGGAATATTTCAATAAAGATTTTGTCTATTGTCTATTGTCTATTGTATGGAGAATCCTTCACAACCAAGAGTTAAGATAATCATTCCGAGACCCCGATATTGTAGAAAAGGCCAAAAGCAGAAGGCTAATGTGGGTTGGCCATATCTTGAGGAGAAATGAGGTGAGCTTGTTGAAAACGTTAAAGGGGAGATCCGAGGGGAAGGAGACCAGTAGGAAGTCCAAAGGCCAGGTGGTGGGATCAAGTCGGGAAAGATATGGAAAAGATGAGACTAGTAGAGGAAGATTCGGAGGACCGAGAGAACTGGCAACAACATGTTGGTGAGGCCAAGTACCAGCTGTGGTACAAGTGGCCATGGCAGTAAGTAAGTATTAATTTAAATTAATAGTGCAAGAAATTGGGAAAAATAACCAACATTTTTTGGACTGCACAAGAAATCTATTTCAAAGAAGTTGTTAAACACACAGCAAATAAAAAATACTGGAATGATTAAAATAATTAATATACAATAAAATAATAGGTCTATCTAACAATAGTTGGTCACACTAATATTGAATACAGATATTTAAAAATTAACTTTCATTTCAACAACACTGTTTGGTTACCCTTAAAACATTAACTTGGTAATTTATTGCTTGACAGTCATCATTATACACATGTTTACTATTTGTTACAATATAGATTTTGTTTTTTGTTTTTTGTTGTTTTGTGTACAATATACTATTTGTTTATTAGAAATTACAAATCTTAAACCTCAGCGATTAAATTGACTTAGAATTTTCTAAAGCTTGATGACATATGTGTAAAAATCAAAAATACCTTTTAAATTCACAGCCTGGAGTAGACATATCACGATTAATTAAATTTATTGTTGATTTCTTTATTAACTAGTTGTCCAAAAACATTGAGCCTTTCACTGTTTATAGGCTCCAAGTTGATGCAATAGTACAAGTCTCCTTCTTCTGCAACAAATAAATTGGGAAATTAAACAGAATATTTCACGTTTTTTACCTTCCCTGTTGCAGCAAACTAAATACTCAATAAAGATAATATTAGGATGAATTCCACATCTTTAAGGGGATATTTTAGTAAAAAATAAAAACAGGCATATAGACATGGCATCATAAATAACTCCATTAATTTTAATGTTCATTTAAAACAGACTTTTGGCTAGTGTTCAATATTCTAATTGAAAAATTTGCTTACTTAACCTATCCCAGCAAAGACACCAATAAAATCTGACGTAGAGAGTTTTAACATAGTACATAAATTTGAAATAGCTATAAAGTGATATGATTCAAATCTATATTATTAGTAATCAGTAATGACATAAAAAAACACCATATAAAGCTAAAACATTATTGTTTTCAATGTACACTTTGAACAAAGATAAATGCTTGAAGGTAACAAATGTTCCAATAAAAACAAAAAATAAATAAATAACACAACAACAAAAATTAATAAATTTACCGTTTTGAGGCAGCTTTTTCACAGAAACGTAGCACTTTTCCCTCGGCTTGACACTGAAATACGTTTGAAACAACTGTCTGAGGGGAGATAGACCAGACGATTTGTCCAAATCCTGCAAAATATCAATAGGAACCAAGATTTAATAATATTACATGAGAGTTTTGTTACTCAAATTTGAGCAACTGTTTACTGAATTATCTTCTTAGCCCCTTCCCCCCCCCCCTTCAGCCGCATTTTAATTTCAAAAATATAAACATGCTATCCAAGTGCTTAGAGGATTTCCAGCCCACAATCAGTTACCTGGTTCAAAAAAACAAAAAGTGGATGGTGTATACTAAAGAAATTGACTTAACAAATGTTCCCAAAAAATATAAATAGCAATTATAAATATCAACGATCAACATTCTGAATTCAAAGGCATTTTATGAAAATCCTAACACAGCAATAACAAAAGCTTTAACAAAGATCACAAGGAATAACTTAGATAAGCAAATCTTCTACAGTTAATGGCCAACTCACTTAATAAAAGTAAATAAAAAACAAGTACAGTAAATGATTTTGAGGGCCATAATTTTGGACATATCAGGCCGAATTGCCCCTGATGGTCATTATTTCCTTAAGTGTGTGTTAAAATTTGACATGTTATACTTTTGTTACCATTAAGCTTAAATTGAGCAAGACCTGAACAAAAGGTTATATTTTTTAAACCCTTGTTTTGTTAATTAACTTATTATAAGTTACTCAATACTAATATGATAGATGTAATTGTAATTCAAACTTTTGAATACTTTAATATGTAATGTCTTTCTTTACTAAAACCACGTTAGAAGTACACCTATAAAAAAAACTTTTGCTTACAAATATCCATCCAAAAAATAAGGGCAAAATTATTTCCTATCCTGAAATCCAAATTGATGTCCAACAGATCTCCAACAATTACAGACTTACCTGATCTCTAAATGCGACAATTTCCTCCTCAACAGAAGCATCCCGCAGAATCTGCCAAAACTTCTCTGGTATTCCCAGCAGAATTCGCACTAAATCCTCTTTTATCAGCACTTTTTCCATCGTTAAGGTTTTATCATCATGTACAACATTGATCCAAGCCCTGTAAAAGATTAAAATACAGAGTTAAGGATTAAAGAGGAAATTGAAAAGTAGTTTATTCAGTTTATTGTTTATTAAACAATAGTGTAATAGATAGATTACACTAGATAGATAGATAGTGTAAGGTAGATTTGCACTAAGTGGCAAAAAGAAGGTTTTGTAGAATCAAGGCAATCTTTTAAGTTTTGGATGTAGTTGATAAAACAGAAGGCAAAAGAAAAATAAGTAAAGAGAAAATATTTAAATCTCTACAATTACTACTTAAGCTTATTATGACTACAAGTTGGGTACATTTAAAACTATTGGTATTTTGGAACACAAGTTATTTTGTGAGGATAGCGGGGTAACCGGAATGAAAAAGAGACCACTCTGGCACAAATAAATTAATAGCCTACAAAAAAAAATATATTTTACTGTCACTGACAGCAGTTTCAACCAAGGATAGTTTGAACTGGAGAGAGAGATTTCTTAAGTCTGATGTATTGTAATGATTGTTTTTATTTATGGAATAAATCATTTTGACTTGATTGTATTTAGATGATTATTTTGTAATGTGCATGACGTGTCCTATTTCTTTGTAAAAATATCAATGGAATAAATTTTATTCTTATTCTTATTCTTGACTTGACTTGAATAGGCAAGTGTAACGCTCCTTTCACACTAAATGGATTCCGCTGTCTGGTTGAAAACCGTACGGTTTTACGCTAATCGCTAATCGTGCGGTTTTATAAGAAGCTGATCTATTTGCACTGGCTGGCGGGCTCTCGTTCAATTAAATAGCGTTCAGTGTGAAGCTTGCAATTAAATAAATGTGCCACTGACGCACGGCCTAAGCGCGACAATCGTCCAGTTCAGTGGCAGTAGACGGATATAAGACAGCACGGTTTTCTGGCATCGTTGTAACCATGTAGGATGAAAGCACTCATGCTCTTCTTAAAACTACAAAAAAAATGTATCTAAATGTTTTTTAACCCTATTGTGTTAACCGTATACAGTAGACCCCCTCTAATCTGGCACTGCGCCACTTCGGCACTCCAGTAATCCGGCGACTTTTGACAGGTGAGGTCTTCAGCGATTGAGGCAAATTACTGAACATTTCCCGAGGTCGTGTAGACATTACCATTGTCTTCCGCGACCGCAGCAAAATTCTGAATATCTCCACCGGTCGTGTAGATATTCCACTCCCATCATCCATTCCCGGGGTCACGGAAACACCATCGTCGTCTTGCGCGATCACGGCAAAATCATGAACTTTTCCCGTGCCCGTTTGGACATTATCGTCGCCTCCCGCGGTCACTGGAACATCATCGTCGTCATGCACGATAGCGGAAAAATCATGAACATCTCCCAAGGTCATGTAGACATTATTGTTGTCTTCCGGGATCGTGGCAAAAATCTGATAATCTCCCGCGGTCGTTGGCCTCCCGCGGTCACGAAAACGTAATCATCGTCATCCCCGGTCGCGGCTATAGCGGTTTCCGAGCGCACGTTCTTTGGAGACGTGTTTTAAGTGCATTTTAATTGTTTTTTATTGTAACATACCAGTAATCCGGCATTTTCACTGATCCGGCAGTGTTACGGTCCTATATCTGCCAGATTACTGACTGAGACTTCTGTAGTGTTAAAGGAGAGTAAGTGTGAAAGAGAGTCTTTAGGTTATTTATTATAAGTTTTAAACTATTGTTACAAGTTTAAAGTTATTCCTGTAATTTTGAAATATTGTTATAACTTTAAATTGTTGATAACATTTTTAAGTTTTGTTGTGAAGTTCAAACTATTGTTGAAAATATTTTAATTAAACTTTAATTAATTGTTAACAATTTCAATCTGTTTATAGTATATATTTTTTCCCCAAATCGTTTGATTTTTTTTAAATAAGATTTAAACATGTCTAAATTAAATGTGTGTAATAATTTATAGGCCTAGTGTTTGAGAGTAATGATAGGATGTATTCTCTTTCATTCTTAGTCATCCAGCAACAATATTTTGCACACTGTCCACTCTTATTGGTGTCGAAATATTTTGGTTCCATAGGTAGATTTATATTTTTACAATGTCCAATGCAAATCTTTGTATGCCTGGTGACAAATAAAAATTAGGATCTTGAGTCAACAAGACGCAGATTTTTTAAGTTAAGTATCCATAAGTGAGAGTCAACTTACACAGCGTACGCAGAAACTGCAGGAACCCCTTCTGCACCACAGTAGCCACTGCATTTCCCTTTGTCAAACAAAAACTCGCAGTAGCTGCACTTGGAGCGAATCGCAACTTTGATCACATTGAATGGTTCCAGCACACCCCATGTCTTCAATTGCTGGTTCTCTTTCTTTTGACAAATGCCATAATGTCCCCATTCTTCACTGCAAAGTTGAAGGTATTATTAGTAGATAAAATCTCATCTGTACATTAGGAAATTACCACTGATATTGTGAGTTTTTTTTTTGTATAATATTAAATATTGTTTAATAAACACAGCCAACAAATCATGTTGTACTTGAAATTACTCTTCAGTTGTAATTTATAGCCTATTTTGAATTTATGAATGATTTTTGCATTAATTACTACAACCATGGTTTTTCATGTTAAAAGTCCAATGACAATACAACTCTTGAAAACTTGTAGGAAATAAGCAAAAGCGGAACTTTGGTATTATACGGAGGCCACCCTCATTCAGTGTGCTGAGGCAGTTATGTTAGGTTGGGTTATCATAAATATGTTTGTAGGACTTTTCTCGTTTCGTTATGAATCGAACTACACCAGATGAGTCATTTTTCGCCCGCCAAATCCCCTCCAAGTAGGCCAAGGTCACGTTGTTGACCGGAGCGCGCGCATCACCTGTCACTGCCTGTATCTGGGTCTGTGTCCTGGGTGATTTATTGCAGTGCACTAGGTTAGTTTTGTCTCCAAAATCCGTAATGAGTGACGTACTTTGACGAAACAAGGATAGTCCTACAAACATATTTATGATAACCCAACCCAACATAACCGCTGCAGCGCACATAAGGGTGGCCTCCGTTTCAACTCAATCCTCGCCGACATCGCTATCTTCTGGGGGCAAAGTCCGCTAACCGTAATCATGTCAAATTCGGACAGTAAGTCAATTAAAGCATGTTCTTTCTAATTGTCGTTAATTTTGGTCACCAGTGAAAAAAACCCTCTAAAATAAGTGGCCTCCGTATAATACCAAAGTAGGTACAGCAAAAGCTTTAATAATATGTTTCAAACCTGAGTCTGTTCTCCAGACTGTCAAGAACTCTGCAGCAGGTCAGCATGGTGGTGATGTAGTAGCACTTGCCGTTAGACGCACACCGACGGTTGAGATGCGTAAAGCACACCGTAAGCCCTGGCGCCAGCCGTGCCATCTGTTGACAACTTTTGACGTAATTGTGCTTGATGTAAACATTTCGCTCGTCTCCCGTAACCAGGTCCTGCAGCTTGATCATTTGTACCATCTCGCCTGTTGTTACATGTTGAAACTTGATTACCTGAATATCCGGTTCAAAGGACCAAAACGAGCTTAAAAAAATATCACTGTAAACTAACAGACATGCAGGTTTTGGAAGGGGTAAAAGGATGTGCAGTGCTATCTGTCTTAGACCGGGGCCACACTTGTAAATTTTAACCAGCGAGATTGGTTTTTCCTTTTTCACGTGCGATGCACGTTTGACCTTGGCCACACTCGTCTTACGAGATAGGTTTTTCGGGCTAACCAGCGAGACTGTAAGAGCATGCCACACTGGCAATAAAATTGTCCGTGTCTGTGATCCGCACTCCCCCCTCCACGCTTACTGTACAGTGAATAAGTCAGGTTAAAACTAGAAACGTCCATGGAAAAATTTTAGGGAGATAAGATAAGTGTGTTCACTCCCATAAGCCGCAATGCCCCGCGACTAGTTTTACGTGCATCGCCCGTGGAATGTTATTAAAGAATACACGTGCAATTACGTTTGACAAACGCGTTCACGGACGTTTTTACTCTAGTGTGGCCTGCCCCATATACCGTAATGTATCTCTCAAACCCACCGGTAACGCCCGTAGAAAAAATTCAGCGAGATAAGATGAGTGTGGCCCCGGCCTTATGAGTCATATTCTTTTTTTGAGAGTGTCAGCGGCTCTACAAGTACAACTCTTATCTTAAGGCCAAGTCACACTGAGCTCGCTACCGCGGTGGGAGCAAGTTTTGAAAAATCGCTCAATATGTTATCAAATGTGCCAAGTCACACCGCACTACCGTGCATGCGCAAAGGTGCATCTCGAATGGCCAGGCTCATATAAAGTTTAAAATTAATACAGTTAAATAAATCATGATTTGATTGTTTACCATGCTAAAATAATGTTTACGGTGAAAATTTAATGTTTCCTATCTAATATTTTATATTGTCGACGCAAACAAACAATTTTTTATTGAATTTTGCCTGTGAGAGTATACAATTTACCTGGCACGCCAGTTTTCATCCGGCGATCTCCTTGATCGTAAACATTTGGTAATTCGACCAGTTCTCTGTCCCCAAGCTCCAGACGACGTTTGAAAGGATCCAACCAAACTTGAAGAGCTTCATTTTTGGGAGTTTTAACCTCAGGTTTATTAGGTTGTTTTCTAAGACACAGGTAACACGACTTGAAAATGTCTTCTTTATAATACTTTATGTTAATGATTCGTCCATAAAAACTGATAAGAGGTACATCGGCGTGGTCTGACTCACTTGTACTGCAAAATAAAATTTTTTTTTTGTGTTAGATCTATATAATATATAGAACAAAGTCGGGTTTGTTTAACACTTACAACTTTTATTGGTGAAATGGACTTTTCTTGTGCAAGTGTTTTGACTAAACTACGTTTTGGGAGGTTAGGGAACTCCTCTTGTTTTCAAGTAGTCTTAATTTACCTAACTATCATATCTAACTCAACTTAGTAGATTTTTTTTCATTTTGATGTCACCAGAGGCCAAAAACACTATTTGTTAAAATTTGTATATACAGTAGACTCTCGCTCATCCGGACTAATGTGGCGGACGTCCGGTCCTGATTACGAAAAATCCGGACTATCGAGAGTCGAGCAAATACACAGTACTGTATATAGCCGTTTTTTCAATTTAGTTCCAGGTCCACAGTAATGATAACCGGGCATATGCACTTCCACCGGTAATAATTTTTACGGCTGAATTTAGTTCCAGGTCCACAGTAATGATAACCAGGGCATATGCACTTCTACCGGTAATAATCTTTACGGCTGAATTTTGTTCCAGGTCCACAGTAATGATAACCCGGGCATATGCACTTCCACCGGTAATAATCTTTACGGCTGAATTTTGTTCCAGGTCCACAGTAATGATAGCCCGGGCATATGCACTTCCACCGGTATAATTTTTTCGTCCGAATTTTGTTCCAGGTCCACAGTAATGATCAAATCAAATCAAATCAAATCATTTATTCAGCCAGAATTAACAATATACAATTTGTATTGGCTAAGTCAAAATCAAACAAAAGCTGGATTCATATACTCAAGAACTATTTACAAATATACAATTTTATACAATATACAATGGTGCAGATTTATATATATAAGTATTTGCATCACTATTAATGGAACTGAGTTTAGATGTGAATTCTTGGACGCTATAACAGTTAAACTTAATCAACAAAGATTTTAATTGTCTTTTAAAGTTCAACAGGTTTGGTTCAAGTTTAAGAAAAAGTGGAAGTGAATTAAAAAGTGTTATGCCATTGTACAGTAAGTGTTTCTTGAAGAAGGTTGTTGAATGTTTAGGAATAGGTACCTAATGTGTGTGAATTGCGCAATGTGTATTGGTTTTTTACAGAAAAATCACATTTAAAAAAATTCCTGTTTCACAAATGTTAAAGATTCAAGAATGTAAATGGATGGGAATGTCAAAATCTTTGAACTAAAAAAATATTGTCGGCAGGATTTGCGCTTTTTTAGAGAGAAAATAGTTCTCACAGCCATTTTTTGGAGTTTAAACAACATTTTAGTTTGCTGGCACTCACATCCCCATATAGGAACGGCATATGCTAAGTGGGGATAAATGAGCCCATAGTATGCCGTCAACATTATCTCCAGATTCTCATTGTTCCTGAGGTTACGTAAAACGAAGATACCAGAGCTGAGTTTTTTTGAAATGTATTTAATATGGTCATGATATTTAAGATTCTCGTCTAAGATCAATCCAAGGAACTTGACATTTGGTGTAGGGTGGACCTCAGTTTCGTCCAGAAGGAGACTAAACCCACTGTTTGATCGGTTTGAATGATTTGATAAGCGGAAGTTAATGAGCTGTGTTTTGTCTGTGTTGATTTTCAATAAACTGTCGCCAAACCATTGAATTATAGCGTTTGCATCCAAAAAACTAATTTGTTCCAGATTTAGAAAATAGGAGCTAGAAACTGAGAGAGAGGTGTCGTCGGCGAACAGGGATAACTTTGAGGAGGTTATGCAGGAAGAGAGGTTGTTAATAAAAAGAAGGAAAAGGACTGGTCCCAGGACGGAGCCCTGAGGCACCCCCCTAGCAACAGGATTCTCAGCAGAAGGGTAGGCTCTAATGCACCCAGCCTCATCAACTGCCCTTATTTCTACGTATTGCCTTCTGCCACAAAGGAATGACCTGACCCAATCTAAGGCCGCTCCTCTTACGCCCACATTACTCATCCTATCGAGCAATAAGTTATGGTCCACTGTGTCGAACGCCTTGCTCAAGTCGAAAAACAAACCAGCCGAGTAGTTTGCAGCATCTAATTCACAAACCACCTCATTTATCAGTTGAAACATCGCTGAGGTAGTATTTACCCTTAGTAAATCCATGCTGGTTTCCGGATATAATATTATTTATTGTCAAAAAGTCCCACAGCCTAATCACAATGATTTTTTCAAATATCTTTGAAAATACAGACACAACTGATATGGGCCTATAGCTGTTGCAGAGCTTGGATCTCCCTTTTTATATATAGGCCTGACCACTGACACCTTCAGCGCATCAGGAAATGATCCACTGGTGAATGACATATTAATTAAATGGCATAGAGGTTTTACCAGATATGATGCAACCTTTTTTAGTAAATATGGAGATATTTCATCAGCCCCTGAAGACTTTTTGTTTTTTAAGCCTTCGATGATATTTAAAATTTCTTTTTCGGTAGTTGGATGTAGAAAGAGTGAATTAAAATATTTCTTATTTATATCTGTATTTATGGATGAAGCTGCCTTTGAGTCTTTGCCTGTGTCTGAAAAGAAACTGTTAAACTCATTGGAAATGTCTTTAGGGTCTATGATGTCTTCACCATTATCAGTTTTAAGAGATATTTCGGTGTAACTTTTTTTGGCTGATGGTCGTTTATTGTTTATCATATTCCATTGAATCTTAGCTTTATTGTCTGATTTTTTTATTCTGCGTAGAGTGTCTTCTGACTTAGTTTTTCTTATTAGGCGTCTATACTGATTTTTTACATTTTTGTAATAGTGAACCAGGTAGTGAGAAGATTCAAGATCTTTTGTTTTATTGTATAGGGCAAACAGCTGCTCCTTCAATTTTGTTATCTCAGGCGACTGAATCTTTTTACTATACGTATTTTTATTGATTTTATTGTACTTTTTGGGGAAGGAAATTTCAAATGAATATTTAACCTTGGACAGAAATTCGTCAAACTTAGTTTGTAAGTCTGCTGCATTAAATACTTCATCCCAATTTTCTTTAGAAATTAGGTATGTAAACAAGTCAATGTTAGAGTTCGAAAACAATCTTTCATACTTAGAGCAGGCTTTCGGAGCTAAGGGAGTATTGATATGCAGAGTCGCTGTTTGAGCGCTGTGATCTGATAAGCCTGCGGATATTACAGACCCCTTGACGTTGCTTATGTTTGTGAAAACGTGGTCTATAAGACTACGAGACCCATTGACTTCCCTAGTATAGGTTTTTATAATATTATGCAAATCAAATGATGCCATGTTTGACGTAAGCTGTTGAGCGAGAAGTGTATCACAAGCAAGATTGATGTTTAAATCACCCATAACTAAGATTGCACGGTGGCGGTTATAATACTTGTTGATACATTCAGTTATTCTACTAAAGAACTCTGTGTGCGTGTTTGAAGGAGGTCTGTATGTTGCCAATAACAAAATTTTCTCATTATTATCTACGGTTATCGACACAGCGGCAAGTTCACAAGTGCCCTCTTTGGAAAACTCGCTACAATCAAGGGGCTTGCAATTGAGACCTGGTTTGGCCCATATGCCCGTACCACCACATTTCATTTCTGATCTACAGAACGATGTTATGCATGTGAATTCGTTTATTGTAGAGTTTACAGCTTCTTCTGCTTTTAAGAAGTGCTCGGTTAAACAAATTAAATCTGGACACTCATCTTCTACAAATATCTCCAACTCATTTATTTTACTCAATAATCCTCTTATATTTTGATGCAGGAACTTAAGCCTTGTGTGCGAGGACCCCTCGCACACAAGGCTTGATAGCCCGGGCATATGCACTGGTAATAGTTTTTACCGCCGTGTTATCCGATTTTTTTCATTATTTAAGGTAGTCTCGGTCCCGTTTCGCTTGGATAGTCGGACTTCTACTGTACTGTGCCGCTAAAAAAAATCACGATTGCCGATCCGGACTACCGGGAGTCCGGACAAGGCCGATCCGGATGAGCGAGAGCCTACTGTATCTGTGTGTGTTGTGAACATGATAGTTTGAGTCATTTTGGTCTGATTTTGTTGAAACGTCGAAAGAACATGTAAACCAGCAAGGTTGAGTCATGAAAACAAGGTGAAAAAAGGAGTTTAAATTGTTTAAAAAGTGTTTTTTTTCAAATTTTTAAAATTGTAACATAAAAATTACCAATTTTTATTATAATTATCATGTAGAGATTTAAAGAACAAATAATTTTGCATTCGTCAAAATCCAATGAGACAAGTGGAAATTTGCATAGACTGACGGTTTGCTACAACAGGGATAAACTTAAAAAGAAAAGTTTTAAGTTTAAATTAGGAAATTCCTGTATAAGCAAAATGTCTCCCCAACACATTCCCAAGAAATCCAAACCACGAGTTTGCTGTACTGTATACAATATGGTTTAAGACTAGACATTCTTCAACAACTTTAGGTAAAAATGAATTACCAAATTATGCACTTACCTAAACCAAAACCTAAACCAAAGTGTATCTGCTGTGAACTTGTAAACATATTCTGAATAATTGGTATTGCCAGATAAGTATAGTTTTGATTCTTTTGGCACTGTACTGCCCAGAAGAGAGTATTTTGAAAAAAATATTTTATGGTGGAAAATTACTCTTAATTCTCTGATATTATGTTCCATGATGGTATCCAGTGGTTTTCTATTCCTGGAAAATGTACAAGCAGAAATTAAGAAGTATTTTAAATAATATACAGGGTGTTGAAAAAAGGTGAGACATAATTTATGTAGGTATTGATTCCTTGGTTCTAAATTAGTAGACAATCAAGAATAAAACTTTTTCCGAAATCGTTACCCTAACCGAATATCCGCCATTTTGTAAAACTTGATATGCACTGTGTGTTAAGGTAGAAGAGCCCCATGTTAGAAAACAATTTACCTTAATCCAAATCAAAATTTGAGAATGGCAGCTATTTATTTTTTAGTTTTAAACTAGCAGTTACCCGGCGCCCGTTGCTGCGCTAACAACTACTATTTTAAATTGTAATTTGTTATTTGCGATAAATAGTATTAGTAATGTGTAATGTGGTGGGTTAATGACAAATTGGGAGGCATTTGAATACCCGAGATAGCATGCACGATTATTATTCACTTAATAATTTATGTTAGATTGTGTGGGTATAGAACAAGATAAAAATATCAAGGCATTGCCATCCCTTTCATTATTTATAATACTTTGATACAGGTTTTTACTTTTTATGCATATTTAATACAGTAGTGGAGAATTTAAACTTTGTTGAGTTCACAGGTGTCCTGCGATTGGGGTTTAATATATTTGGACTTATCCAAAAGTAAAATAGTTTTCTGCTCTGCATTCTATGGAAACATTGTGGCACTATTTCAAATCATGACTAATACAGAATGTTGTGATTCAAACCTATTCAAACCTACAAAACAGTTGGTGAAAGTAAACATCTGATTTTAAATTATATTATTATTTGTAAACATTGTCATTCCAAAAGTTTACATTGGACCCCTTAAAACCCTCTGGGGCAGAGCCCTTTTGACGGATCTGCACCAAACTTCACACAAACCATCCTTGAATAATGCTTAATAATGCCTGAAAGTTCCATTACAATCTTTCGAGCGGGTTGGGAGTATATAAGGTACATTACATACATATATATATTTCCTCTTTTATAGATATAGATTACATAAAACAGCTGATTTTATGAAAAAATGTCAAGAACACTTTTATTAAGAACTAGCTGTTGTACCCGTGCTTCGCAACGGAGACGGCACTGAGGTTAGTGAGTCGGTGGCTCAGTCTGTAGCGTTGCGGACTTCGGGCCTAAGGCAGTGATGTCGTGGGTTCGGATCTAGGAGGATTAATCCTCCTAGGTTCGGATCCTGGCCACTGCCGAAAACATTTTATCAGTACAGATCACCTTTGTGCTGTCCCAGCTCACTCCTTTCTTAACTGTTTATGATCCACGCACGGGCGGTTAGTCTATGTGGACGGGCAAATGCAAGGTTAAAAGAGGCTGCCAACCTCTTAAAAAAAGCAAAATATTTTATATTGAATTCTGTTGTATAAAATAGTTACACATTCCCCTTTGGTTTCAGGAACATAACTCAATTGAAACTCTCAGTTTGAAAAATATCTTTCTTAAGATGCATTTATGGAAATAATGCACCCATACGATTCTAAAATTCAAATGATAAGCTTACTTGAACATTTATTTTGTTGATAAATGTACATATCAAGTAAATAAGAAAAAACAATTGCACAACATAAAGCACTGTAGTAAAGCAAAAAAACAATTTATATTTATTTCACATATAATTGATATGTTTGACCGTAGCTAATGAGCTTTTTCAAAGTCCAATCTTTATCTGCAGATCAGTGTGTATATATCACAATAATAAGCAAAAATAAAATAATGGAAAACTTGTATTACCTTTTGTTAGAAAGCCAACCACTATTATTGTTAATCAGGGCACAAATTTCATCAATTTAAATATAAATCAACAACGTAATACATAACTGTAATTATTTTAACTCGTTCCATAGTTCAAAACGTGTATGTATTTGCATTAATTTACATCATTGTTTAAAACATTGAGTAAAGAAACATAGATACGTTACAGATTTTAATTGATTTTAAATACAAAAGTGAATTGCGTGCAGTTTAGTTTTGTGATATTCTCCATAGTCAAATTAAAGCAGTGTTGTAAATATACAACTACTAAGGAGATTTAAATGTAAATTTTAAAAAAGCGAATGTGAAGTAGATGATAGAAGAAAATATAATTAGTAGAACTACCTCTGGGCAGAATAAAAGTAGGTAGCCTATAGTTGAAATTTAGTTTGTAAATTGAATTAAAACACAAATAAAAGTGTAAACATTTTGAGTCACTTAAATTTTTAAAACTGTACTAGTAGGCCTTACATATCTCTTAATTTTTTTTTAAATCTATTAAAATCCTGATCCAAACATGTGTTTATCAGTTCAAATTTATAAACATAAAGCTACCATATCAAAATTATTCCAAAAAAATTATTCATTGTAATGATCCTTCTGTTTCCTATATTTTAATATTTTAATCAAACTATTCTCATAATCATAAAACTTTAGAATCTTGGGATCAGAACCTGTACCTCTTAACCTCTGCTGTTTGAACTGTCAAATTATAGTATTTACAGCTGAATTCAATTAATACTTTTTACTATTTATTTACATTCTTCCAAAATGTAAACATTGAAACTTTGGAAGCCCATGGGGCGTAGCCCAAGGGAATTATAATAACAGGAATAGGCCTATATGTTAACCAGGTGTATAAGCTACCTTCATACAAAATTTTATTTCAATCGGTTCAGTGGTTCTTGCGTTATTAAGTAACAGACAGACACACACCATCTCATTTTTATATATTAGTATAGATTTACTCCACTCTTAAGATTGTTGAGACTTTATCATCATTTCTCATTATTGCGACAGAATCGTCATTTTTGATAGCACAATCTTCACAGACGCTTTCAACGATCGTGAGAATAATCGCTTGGATCAAAATTTGTTTCCCTCTAACTCTAACAATTTATCAGCAACAATATTTTTTCATTCTTTCGAGCACTTAAAGTAAGGTCCCGCGCTACCGCCGTTAGGGAAATATGTCCCTGTTTTTTCATATTTAACAATTAACTATAACGATTTTAAGTCCTGCAAACACTTACTTGTCAAAATACAATTTATCTGTTCCTTGTGGTAAGTGAAGCAGGTATTCTCTGTTTGGGATCAGGAATTTCCTCCATGCCACTTGTTCAGCTCTCAAAACTAACCACAGCTTGTTTTCCAGGCAATCTCCTACATACAGATTTTAACAAATTATTGAATTCTACATCAAGCCAGGGGAGCGAGCTGGTATAAGTGGTTAGAGCAGGGACTTCGGTCCAAGAGGTCCCGGGTTTAAATCCCCCCAAATCACCAATGGATTTTATCTCAGTGATAATGCCGCAACCCCTAGGTCTAGCCTGAAGTAATATGAAAAACAATCCCTAGCGTCCTAGGAAAAAAAAAGATCAAGCCACGATTGTTTACTTTTAACCCTTCCTGGACGGGTAAGTAACATGGCCTAGAACGGGCCAAAATTATGTTAAACTTTTGTTTAATTCAGTACCATTCTAGTACCATGCCTAACTAAATATTTGAAACGTTCTTTACGATTAACCAACAATACTTTACTTAAATTATTGTAGGCCTAAAGAATAAAATGGGGAAAAAATAAACTGTTTTAGCTGGTTTTTTTTGGTATATATTTTGATTGAATTTGGCAAATTTGTTTTTTTAATACTAAACTATCAACATTTCTATAAAAAAAAAAAACACACCTTGTTACCAGGGTTGCCACTTTTTGTTGGGGGAAAATCAGGACACCCCCCCCCCCCCCCCCACGGATTAACATAGACATAAACACATGGGCATAAGGGAGAAAAGTCGGGACTATCCGATCAGAATCAGAACAGGTGACAACCCTGATTATTACCTTCCCAGTAGCAGCAAACCTAAGTACTCATTAACATTAATGTTATTTATATAGGAAATAAATCTGACAATTTTAAAAGAATATTTTGTCAAAATCCAGCCAGGTAAACGGAAATTCTCTTAGTCTGAAGGTTTGCTGCAGCGGGGGTATTTTAGGCCTATATTAATATTAGACAGTAACAAGACCAGGTTTAAAGAATCCTTCTTCTAGATATATTTTAAAATTACTATACTCTGTTGAATTAATTAAATAAAGGATAAATACTCACGATAATTGTACGATATTAGTACTAAACAGGTTCCAAATGCACTTCTACTAGTTGCATGGAATGGAATAGACACATGATGTACTATAATGTGGTAAGTCCTTTCACTTTTAATTATTTCTTCGGCTTCTTCTGTTTTAATAAAACTAATACTCTCATTTTTTGTCTCTAGAATTTGCTGATGTTTTTGAAAATTATCTGTGGATTGGATCTTATCATCTTCTAGTAGTTTTACCTGTTCCCACTTAACCACATAGTTTATTAATTGTATCGATTTGTTCTCCTCTCTAGCCTGAAAACTATAAAATTAATACAGTATTGTAAAATGCATGGTGGCCAAAATGAAACTGCAATAATGACTAATATAGATATGTACAACTACCATGCCAGCAATAAAAAAAAAATCAGTCTTTGGCTCCAATTCTTTTGCAACTGAGGACGAGGTATTTGTATGTAGGTACCCCACTAGTCAAATATAAAATTATTGGATAAGAATTTTTTTTTTAGGACATAAGAGTTTTATAAGGTATATACAAAAAGAAAGTTCACCTTCACAAAACAATTAGTCACCTAAAAGCAACCCTAGCTCAAGCAGTACCTAAAGATGAATACCTAAAAATATCAGCACAAATTAAAGAAAAGGTTGATAAAGAAATGCACTACAAACAATCAATCAACATTGGAACTTTAAAAGCCACTGGGGCAGAGCCAAGGAAATTTTTCAACATGTAAGACTTTATATGACATCTACTCAATGAGATCTTTCCAATAATGAGCCTTTAAGCGGTTAATAAACCACAGAGGAGTTCTGCCGACAAAAATCGTGCTTGCCTATTTTATATATACAGGGTGTCCCGTAACTCTCTGGACATATGCATATAGCGTTATTGCTTAGGTCAAGACAAACACATTTCACCATAGGAACATGGGTCTGTGGTGCCTAGTTTTCCGACTGTCTGTATTTATGTGTTTTTTACAAAAACATTAATAACTCCTAAACGGTTTGAGATACAACGTTGACATTTTGCAATAATGTTTATCTTTTTAAGACTTACCTTTGTCTAAAATTGTACTAAAAACTCAAAAACCGTTCAAAAATTGCAGCCATTTAAAATATTTGAAGGCAAATTTCACGAAAACCGTTAACTTAATTAAAAGACTGCAAGAGACAAAAAAGTTAGTCAATTTTATATAGTTTTCATTGATACCTTATTTGTTAAGAATTAATAAATAATAACAGAGAAACGTCTACTTTTCCAAATGCATGGCCAATTTTTTCCATTTAAACAATGCTAAACAACGTAAAAGGAGTACAGTATTAGCATTGTTTGAATGGAGAATTTAAGTGATCATGCATTTGGAAAAGTAGACATTACGCTGTTATTATTTATCCATTCTAAACAAATAAGGTATCATTGAAAACTACATCAAATTTACTAATTTTTTTGTCTCTTGTAATCTTTTTGTTAAGTTAACGGTTTTTGTTAAATTTGACATCAAATATTTTAAATGGCTTTTAACGTAAAAGGAGTATTTTAGCATTGTTAAATGGAGAAAAGTGATCATGCATTTGGAAAAGTAGACATTTCGCTGTTATTATTTATCCATTCTAAACAAATAAGGTATCATTGAAAACTACATAAAATTTACTAATTTTTTTGTCTCTTGCAATCTTTTTGTTACGTTAACGGTTTTCATGAAATTTGGCATAAAATATTTTAAATGGCTGCCATTTTGAAACGGTTTGTGAGTTTTTAGTATAATTTTAGACAAAGGTAAGTCGTTATTAATAAGATAAACATTTTGTGCAAAATGTCGACGCTGTATCTCAAACCGTTTAGGAGTTATTAATGTTTTTGTAAAAAACACATAAATACAGACAGTTGGAAAACTAGGCACCACAGACTCATGTTCCTATGGTGAAATGTGTTTGTCTTGATCTAAGCAATAACGCTATGTGTCCAGAGAGTTATGGGACACCCTAGATTACCTAGTACTATGTACTATTTTATAACTGAAACATATATTTGTAAAATTCAAAATTCATAGATAGGTATGGCCTTAGCCAACATGTATCACCTAGTTTTATTTCACATTGAAAAATTTACTCACGTATCAGATATTACAAGTAGCTTTTTGATTAGAACCTTTTTCCCAACTGACGATATCCAATTTACGAGGTGTCTTGCTAAGTCTACAACTACCAGAGAGGTACAACTAGTCCCATCGTCAAACACAAGGTTGTAGTATGGTGTTCCACACAGCTTGATATAACCACAAACATTTTCTAAAGTTTCACATTCTTGTCTTGACTCTGTGAACAAAATGTTCCATGATATTAATTACCAAATAAAAAAAATGTTGTTCCCTACGGTAAATTTGCTTAGAAACAAGGCATTTCAAAATGAAATAGCACCTTTGTATAGTACATGTAAATAGTTGAGCCTAGTTCCGTTTAAGTGGTCGTTAGAAAAAAAAATTAATAAAACAAACTCATTTATTTTCATTTAGTCTTGGGTAGGCGCCTCTAACGCTAGGCCTACCTCTAAAATAGGGGTGAAACCTATTAATCAACCAAGTATGATTCATATTACATTGGATAGGCATAGAGTAAAAAATTAAGTTTACTTTTCACATAAGCTGTTACTATTTTTTTACACATAATGTGTGAAAGACTGTAATTAAAGTAAACAAAATTATGTGTTATAATTATAAAGTAAGTTAACAAAAGGACATCAGCTAATACAACAATGATACTTCATTCTTTTGCTCTATCCAAGGCCAGAGAAATCATACTTAGTATAATTAATAATTAGACTCCAATTAGGGATGTCTTCAGAATGCTGAAAATTCCAACTGTAATCGCCATATACATCTCTGAGGTCGTAAATTTTGCCCTCAACCAAGGCACTCCTAGAAATGCAAATATACACCTGCATTACACAAGGAACGCTGCAAATTTCAACTTGCCCCCACACAGAACTGCCAGATATGCGAAGAAGCCATCTTACGCAGGAGCCAGGCTCTACAATCTTCTTCCGGCAACAATCAAGACCGGCAATGCAACGACTTTGAAAAAAAGACTACTTACCTGGCTGATAGATAATCCCATCTACACCATGGAAGAGTTCTACACCCTCTGTGAAAAAGACTGATGAAATCAATTTTTGTTTTTTCTTCTCTTTGTAACATGTATAATTCCAGATTTGTTTTATTGTTGACACCATTTCTAAGCTCTACGCCTATGGAATAAAGATTCTCTCTCTCTCTCTCTCTCTCTCTCTTTAGTAATTAGTAGTTAAGTAGTAAGTATACGTGTATAATCATACGTATTAGCTGAATTGTTAGTTTTCATGAAACAAACATCAAATCTATTTTTTTCTTTTGAAACTCACCGTATGTAATCTAAAATTAGTAATTAACAAAGAAAGTGTGTCTAAAATAGGTCTAGGCCACAGCTTTTGGCAGTTCCAAGGGGGGGGGGGCTACAAGGGCTAAAGGCCACCCAATACCCATTGGACCCTGGACAAATAAATTTAAACATATCCGGTACATTTCGTCCTAAAAACTTAACAGAGGTTTATTGACACACAGTGATTAAAAAATGGCTTTAGAAAGTCACCACGGCTTTAAAAATACCAAATTTTCTGGGGAGGACACCCGCATCCCCCCTCCTTTATTACGGTTCCCCACATAAACCACAAATTATTGTCAAAAAGCACACAACGCTTTTTCAACGAAAAACCAGGTACGGTAACATTAAAATGGTTTGGTAGTTTAGCTTTTTAGGTTAAGCATTATTCGGGGTGTAGGTTGAACTACACTGCCGAACCTTCTGGTAGCCCTCCCTTGACAAGGTCCTAAAACCACCCCTGCCAGGCCAATCTATAGCCTAAATAGTTTATAAACAAATTATTATTTCTAGTCTAATGCATAAATTGCAAAGTACACAAATAGCCAAATTAGCGATTTTTTAATATTGTTTTAGCTTAGACAATAAATAATCATTAAATAAACCCTCAGCGACCCCAAATAAATTTTACAATACAAGAAACCCTACAACTCTCTGACAGTTTAATGATGTACTTAAAAATAATAAAAACAACAGAATACTTACCATAATTCTGAGAACAAGTGCCAAAACCTTCATGATTCATATTTTATAGAATCTTGGTCCCTGGACATTAGATTCTTCTTATCCTCAAAGAGACTGTTTCACACTAAAATTTATAAAACATAAAAATGTTATAGGCCTAACATAAGCAAATTATCTAAGAAACATGAGAAGAAGTAAAAGTACCTATAATACAAGTATACCGACCGTGCATAGGAAACATAAGAAAAAGCATTACCTATTACAAAATTAAAATCACTTTAAAACTTGCGTAATAGCATTGACTACATAATGGTAATAGCTTTGACTATTAATATAACATCCAATAGTCAATAGTAATAGACAGTGGTACGGTCCTTAAAATCCACATTCTTACAGATTAAAAATGTATGAAGACTGTTTAGATAGTACATAAACAAGATTACGGTAAGTTATTTAGATAATGCAGTAAGTTAGCATAGGTACCAATAAAAGCTAAAATTACAAATACTGAAGTGTGACGGATTCTTTGGTCCAAGATAGTCCTATCAAATTTTGACTATACAGAAGGTCCAAAAGAAAGGTACTGCATCTAGACAATTTGAATTATGATAAATAGGACCTGAACTAAATTATTAAGATATTTCAATGGTACATCAATGAAAAATGTCATCCACCCATAAATATGACATTAGATCCCTACTATCTAGCATTACTACTGAACAGAAGGTTGGCATAGATATGAACCAAGACCAGGGTATGGACAAATAAACGTTGGCCTAAAAAAACCATACTTAGGCTAAGTTACCTATATTTTTTTAATTAAGTTTGGCCCAGTGAGTTGTCAGGTAAACTTAAAACTTATGCTGCTACAGGAACAAAATTTATTTTTGCTTTTGGTTATTAATTACCGTACTGTAAATTTTAAAACCACTCTTTGAAAATAAATTTTAAAAGCCTACTACAAAATGAAGACATACGGTAAGTTAAGTAGGCTTAAGCTGCTTCTCTAAGGCCACTTTAATGCACAGCGGAAGTGGTTTGTGCCACCAAATAAAAACAAGCGCTGCTAAATTCTCTTAAGCAATTTGAACCTGTGGTCCTGTTATTTTTTTATATCAGCCGCATGGTAGCAGAACAGAAATCTTAAATTTAAGTGCTGCCATTATAAAATGAAACCAAATATTCCTGAATTGACAGTTAACATATTTACATGCATGGCTTGTGTTACAATAATTGTGTAAATTGTTTAAAAATAAAATAATACAATCTACATTATTAAAAGAATTAGTTGGCTTTTTGTGTGCAGCAAATCGACCCCCAATATTTATTATTATAGGCATATTGGGTATCAATTTAAAGCTCTTATCCTCAAGATGTGCATTTTGCGGGTTTATGGTTGATATCTCGTAAAAACACTTCATCCTACAGGCTTTTAAAATTTCAGAGTTTGTGCTAAATACTGTTGTCAATCATCTGAACTGTTTCAAGTTTACATTTGTTTACATAAAACAGATGGCCATAATACAATTTTTTTACATCTATACGGGAATGGGGTTATCTTTAGTTGATAATGTTTCAGTAAATTCAAGTAAAATATTGTAATGTTATTTGTTTAAAATGTAAAGAAGAAAACAACTTACGCTGGATTTTGTGTTGTGATAGGTTCTGTATGTTCATAGTATGTTTTATTGATGTGTAATGTTATTTTATTTAAAATGTAAAGAAGGGATTTTGTGTTTTCGTAGTATGTTTCATTAGCGTTTGTTATTTTACTAAGATGCCTTGAAGAGATCGCGCACGTAATGAAAATAATAGGGCACACAATGCAAATAATAGGGGTATGGAGAAATAATCGTGTTCACCCTTATCAACTATATATCAAACATATAATGGATTTTGAAGTCACGAAGTGACACAGGCTGCTAGTAAGAAATAACATACCTATAAGGTACTTTCCTGTTAAAGAGAACATTAATTATTATCGTTGATTTCTTTTTGATATATCAATATTTTTGTTTTGCGTTACGATCAATATTCCTTCTGTTTTAATATCTGCAAACGCATTTAAATTAAAAATTGAGAACTAATCTTGTTTAGGTAAAAATAATAGCCTATAAATTGGATTAAATACCCCCGCCGCAGCAAACCTGCAGACTAAGCGAATTTCCATTTGCCTGATTGGATTTACACTAAAATGTCTTCTTAAAAATATCACATTTATTCCCTATTTAAATAGAATCAGTTTAACACATACTTAGGTTTGCTGCAACAGGGAGGGTAAAAGGATTTTTTTGATGTAAAATGTTAATAGTTAGTAAGAAATAAAAACATTTTCCAAATTTGATAAAAATATGTTCATAAACAAGCAAACTACAACAGTTTACTTATTCTCCATAAGAATAACATGGGAATTTTAATTTTACAATTTTTTGGAATTTTCTCCGTAACCATTAGGCGCATAATAACGCTTCAATATACTAAATTATTTTTTTTTTAAGCTCTACAAAATGGTTTGGAAAGAAATTGCTAAATTTTATGTTTTATAAAACAATCAAATGCGAAATGGGTCAAATGATGGGTCAAAAATGCGAAAAACCTATTTTTACCCCATAAAACCCCCTGTAAACCCCCGTTCCCATGGTCCGATCATGCTGGATCGCGAACTCGTTCGAATAAACGTAGGTTTACACGTTTGTACCAAATTTCATCAAAATCGGATTATTTTTGCTCGAGTTATCGTGCTAACGGACACACATATATATATATATAAATATATAAATATATATATATATTTATATATATATATATATGAATTTGAACGGATGGTGTTTTTGGCCTCTAGGGACCTCGAAACGAAAAAAAAAATCGGTCCCGCGTCCAGGTCTTACCATGAGTAGTACGGTAATAGCTTATTCCCTATATGGGAAATTCGCTAAAAATGAAACTATTCTTAACTAACGTAACATAAGTAGAACCAAACTTGCTGTAGGCTAAGTTACCGTTTCAAAATTTGGTTTATAACAGAAAAGGCATGTGGGAAATAGGCTATCTTTTTTTTATTAACTGAAATGAAAAACAATAATAAATTTGATTTGAGTAGATAACAATCTACTCAAATCAAATTTATTATTGTTTATTATGTATTATTGTTTGTAACGCTTTTATTGATTTGTTTTGTTGTAACTGTTTTGTTTATTTTCACTTGTTTTGTTGCAGCCGCTGTCTTTTTGCCATCTTGTTGTAGTTTCTCTTTTAATGAATTTCCCATATAGGGAATAAGCTATTACCGTAGGTCTCATGGTAAGACCTGGACGTCCGGGACCGATTTACTTTTTTGTTTTGAGGTCCACCAAGGCCAAAAACACCATCCGTTCAAATTCATACATATATATATATATATTTACTAGTGGCCTGTAGGGGCCAGCCCCTAATTTAGACTACAATGAAAAACATATATAATAAGACAAATATTCTAAATATGTTTCTAAATTATCAATTTTATGTTACCTACTTAAAATTAACAGTGTTTCTTGTTTTATATTTTGGTTTTCCTTCCGTTGGAGTCGTATATTAATTGCTTCTAATGTGTCAATGAAATAGCCTACAATTGTAAAATAAAATAATGATTAGGCCTAAATCAATAACACAACATATTTCAAATGGAAACGTACACACGGTCGGCCTGAGCCCGGAGAGCGACGAATCAGAGCTGAAATCATACAGCCAAACATTGCACATCTTTTCTAGTTTAAAATTGAATATTTGTATTGTAATCTTAAGAATTCTGTTATAGTTTCCATTTTGAGAACCAAATGTAAAGGTTAAAATTATTATTAATGATTATGAAGGCAACTCCCCATTTGGCGGTGGTAAGTCAGAAGTATATCTATATGAATTTGTCCCTGAATTTTAAGACAGTAAGGCCCATTTCCCGGAATCTCTTTTTGTGTAGAGGAAAGTGACGCAATAGCCATTGCACTGTTGTATTGCCTTATGTTTTTTATGAAGTTCGAATCGTGTAAAAACAGTTAGTTCGTCATTTACTTGTGGTTGTGGCATGTCCATTGTGGCAACATGCGTTGAAATGTCCATTTGTGGCCTCCTCTGCGAAGTGAAATGCGCCACAATGCATGCAATAGATTGTGAGAAACAACTCAACTCATTTTCCAGCGTTCTTCTAAAGACAGGTTATAAAACAACTTCTGGATTGATTTCACAGTTAGGCCCTACATGGACGTTCTCTTTTGCATTTCTTAAGTCTGTTGAATTCCTGGACACTCTTCCACGTCTTGCAGGGCTTCCCTTAACCTGTCTAGTTACGTCACTCATTATAAAAACGGAAAACAAAAAAATTAAACCCAATTCATTTTGAATGGGAAGGGAGGGAAACAGGTCCACGACGTAGGACGTGGTGAAGGATTGAAGGAAGTAGTGAAGGCGAGCAGTGGGGAGTGTGGGAACCATTAGTGACAGTTAGATAATTGTATCTAAAATATTAAAATGCTATGGGAAGGGAGGGAAACAGGTCCACGACGTAGGAAGTTGTGAAGAAGGAATTTAGTAAATGCGAGCAGTTAGATTAGCAGTGTAGGAACCGTCTGAAGCAGTAAGGTTAATGTATCAAAAATACTAAAAATGCCATAGGAAGGGAGGGAAACAGGCCCACGACGTAGGAAATGGTGAAGGAAATAGTAAAGGCTAGCAGTGAGGCGTGTGGGGGAACCGTCTGTGTCAGTTAGATTCATGTACGTGCAGTCCTAAAATGCTATAGGAAGAGAGGGAAACAGGTCCACGACGTAGGAAGTGGTGAAGGAGGTACAGTAGTAAAGGCTAGCAGTGCAGAGCGTGGGAACGCTTTGGAGAGCAGTTAGATTAACGTATCTAAAATACTAAGATGCTATGGGAAGGGAGGGATACAGGTCCACGAGGTAGGAAATTGCTGAAGGAAGTAATTTAGTATTGTAAAGGCTAGCAGTGCGGAGTGTGGGATACGTCTGTGGCAGTTAGATGTATCTGCAATCCGAAAATGCTATAGGAAGGGAGGGAAACAGGCTTTAGAAGTGCCTGTTACTAAAGCCAGTTACCGACTTTAGTTTGTCGAGCAGTGAGTTAAATAGTATGGTGGCATTAAGTGACGTGGTTTTGGAAAAAGGAGGTTTTATGGTATGGAATGTTCAATTTGGATTTTTTTTCTAATGTTGCAATTGGATTGGGAAATGAAAGATTAAAAAAAACTATAGCCTAGTTTTGTTTAAAAAATATTAAGGTACCTACCAGTACGGTATTGAAAATGTAAATGCAAGGAAAAGTAATGTTACGAATTACTGTTTTTAGTAATCACCAGTACGGTATTGAAAATGTAAATGCAAGGAAAAGTAATGTAACGAATTACTGTTTTTAGTAATCAGCTGAAGTATTTATTTACTTGTTGTTTGTATTAGAGATTTGTTTACCTTGACAGCTATGTAACAATTTAAGTTTATTAAATTTGTTGTGAATAACTGAAACGGTAAGAAGTCTGATAAAAGCTGATCTACAAGACCCTCTCGGGCCATTAATCTGTTACTCACAAACATTTGGTTGACATGGACTCTTTTTCGACTTGCAGTTAACTTATGGTTCAAGTGTGATACGGTAACTTTATACCTTAATACCTTAATACCTCCTTCTTCGTCTTTTACCCACAATGTGGGATTGACAGCGTCACTTTAACACGATTACTAATACAAAAAACAATATTTACAACTATTTACATACTTCCGGCAGGCTACAGGCTTCTTAAATCATCCCCTAAATACTCTGAAATATCATAATAGGCCCGGCTCTTGATGAAAGTGGTTAACACTGCCTCAAATTTTCTCAAGTCCAACAACTGGATATGTCGTGGCAGCTTATTGAACAGACTTATGGCTGACACACTATATAACTAGCCTGGGTCCTAGATAGTCGCACCCTTGGTACATCAAGCTGATGGCGCTGCCTGGTGTTATACTGGTGGACGTCAACACGAGTGGTGAAGGTTGTTATATTAGCCCTAACGTGCACCAGACAGAGAAGTATGTAGTGGCCAACTACAGTAAGCACACCAAGTCGTGCAAAGAGGGGTTTGCAATGAGCACGATACTCACTCCCAGTAATAATCCTTAATGCACGCTTCTGGAGCCTAAGCACTTCAACAACCTTTGGCGAGTGTCCCCAGAGAAGAAGACCATAGCTGACATGGCAGTGAAAGAGGGCATGGTACACCATCACCAAATATGCCTCCGTTACACAAAATTTCAGCTTGAAGAGGAGGAAACAGATCCGTGAGAGTCTGTTGGTGGTCTGGTCAATGTGATGTATCCAGCTGAACTTCCCATCAAGAACAAATCCAAGCAATTTAACTGGATCTTGAACACCAGGCTGATCTCTGGAGAGGCTGCAGATGATGTGCTGCGTCTTATCCTCGTTTAGTTGGAAGCGGTTTGCCAGAAACCAGGCAGTTGTATCTTCAAGACGCTGTCTGGAGATGGCCAAAGCTTGATCGATGTTCGTACCAGCTGACAGGAGAGAAGTGTCGTCTGCAAACATGAGGGTAGTGCCAAGGTTGTCGAGATCGTTGATCATGATGAGAAAAAGGGTAGGCCCAAGCACTGAACCCTGGGGGACACCAAAATCAACTGGCAAAGTGCTGGAGACAGCTCCACCAACTGCAACGACCTGCGAGCGCCGTTCGAGGTAAGTACTCAGGATGGCAAGAGCGGCATCCCTGATCCCATAGAAGTGGAGTTTCCTTTTCAAGATGGAGTGGGAGACACAATCAAATGCTCTACTGATATCACAGAGAGTCAGAGAGAGAGCTTGGTGGTTTTCAAATGCATTTTCCACGCTTGCAGCAACTTTTGCAACAGCATCAACGGTTGACCTGCCCTTACGGAAGCCAAACTGCATATTCGAGAAGAGGTCAAGTCCCTCAAAAAATGCTTCAAGCTGGGGTTTTATGGTGGCTTCTACCACCTTTCCGAAGAAAGGAGTTATGGAGATGGGCCGATAGCTATTAAGCCTCTGGTGGTCACCCTTCTTGTAAATAGGGACAGTTTTCGAGGTCTTCAGAAAGTCCGGGAAGACGCCACAACTAAGGCAGTCGTTGACAGCAGCAGCAAGTGGAATGGCGATGGCATCAATAGTTTTTTGAAGTATGTAGGTAGACATACCAAACACATCAGGGCTCCTAGATGGCTTGAAAGACAGAACCAGCTTTCTAAGGTTGTGAGGAGTTGTAGGTTGGAAAACTGTTAGAGTATCAGGTGGAGGATTCACTCTAGATTCCAGAAGCTGGATGGGGTCCACATCTACATCAGGTAAGGCCTCAGTGATAGCTCTTACAGAATCAATGAAATAGCCATTGAAGGTATCAGGGCTTGCAAATTCAACAGGCCGTCTAGTGCAAGACCTGTGCGAGTTCATGACATCCCATGCAGCCTTACAGCGATTTGGGGCGTGTTCGATTTGTGACTCAGTAGCCTTCTTCTTCGCCATCTCAATTTGTCCCTTATAATAAGCCTTGGCCTGTCTATACCTTAAAAGGTACCTGTCATTTTCACCGCCAGCAGACCTATCTTTAAGAGCTAGCATCACAGCTTTAATCCTAGCCAACTCATCCGTATACCATTCCTTGTGGCTTACTAAACGTTTAACCTTTTTGGTCTTCTGGGGTCGGTAAGGTCTGATTTTTTCAGGGAAAAACATATCAAAAATCTCCTGAAATTTTTTAAAGAAAACATACAACTTACAATTTTATCATTTATCATTTATCATTTATCTATAAGTTTAGAGTTGGGAGAGGTTGGGTTGGGTTAGAACCGAGATAGGACGTAAGTTAACATTGAACCAAAATCATTGTGTATTGTTACATAAAGGTTATTATGTAGTGATAGGCCAGGCCAATTCTTATAACAGGAAAAGGCCCCCCTTCCCAAGCAATTAAACAAGTATCACCTTAACAATAACTTATTTAGTCTGTAAATTACCATTAATTTACCATACAGGATCAAATTCAGTCCAAAGTTTTATCATATTGCTAAAATAGATTAGGCTCATATGGAAATACTTATCGGACGTACAATCGATGTAAAAGTAAATTAGGCTAGTGGAGTCATCAAAGTTCTGCAAAATTTTCACAATAAATTTATCACAGTTGTGTGATCGTAAAAAAAAATTAAAGTAGGCCTATCTAAGTTTAGGGATTGATATTAAGCTTATACTGTAGTAGGGGATGATACTGATGTATAGGGGATGCAGTTTACTGGAGAGCTAGATTGCATAAGTTATTCTCTGAGGCCTTATATGTTTTTGCTTTTACCCTCGTGTGACACTTCACTTCAGTCCATTGACTACTAACATGCTACTAAAGGCAATGACAGTAATAAATTATGAAGGAAGGTAAACACGAATTTGAAGTTGTGAAGTGACTGCCACTAAAATCTATCTCATGCCCATCATCTCATCTCATCTCATCCTCATGCATGCCTCACCTCTCGCTCTCACCTCATCTCATAAGAATAAGAATAGATGAGATTCTCATCTTTTCTTGGCTGATGTTGACCAGGCAGGATCAGGACACAGGACCATTTACCTACCACCACTAACAATAATAACAAAGATAGGTAGATGTGGATGATGATTGTTGGTCTTGGTTAGGTTAAGGTTGAATTGTCTTTGACTCTTTGAGTTTTGACTTTAGCGCCAAACAAGAACAAGAACACGATCACGACACGAGACACGATAGCAGACGATGCATTATGACCACTGAGCTATAGCTCAGTGATTATGACTGACAAACAAACACTGGGACAGGACAGGAAGAAATTTTTAGATAAGATGGTTTATTTTTTTTTGATAAGATGACTGATCGAGGGCTTAGACAATAAGACCATACATGTAAAATCAATGGCACAACATATTTTTCCCTTAGATTTGTCATCCTAGTAAATCACCTTAAAAATAGCCCCAGAAGAATTGTATTTGAAAAAACGCTTGCTCAATAACGAGATATTTTTTATTTTAGCGAATTTCCCTATAGGGAAGTGGATATTGCCTTAGGTGGCATGGTAAGACCTAGGCTCGGAGCTCGGACCAATTTACTTTTTCATTTCGATGTCCTCACTCCCCAGAGGCCAAAAACAAAATCACTTCCTTAACCAGATAACCGCCAGATATTGCTTGCGTAAATATACATAACTACAAAAGACCCGGTATGGATCATAAACATAACCAAATGAAGTTTTTGGCCCGAAAATAAACAATATTTAACATTGCTTGTGGTAATAATTATTATTATTATAGTTGTGACAACTTTAGTAGCTTGTGGTTCAGTGTGGTTGGGTGATTGCTGATTACTGATTTGTGATTAGTAAACCATGGCAATTTGTGGGTGAAAAGAAACCCAAGAATGAATAGAAAATCTTAGAGCGATGTTTTACACCATTAGAAATCTTTATCTTATGTTTAGTTTTGTTTTCTTCTATATATCTAATTCCGTAAGCCCAACATTTTACAATGAAATTGTGAGAGAACGGGAGGCCGTAGAAAGCTGGGAGAGGTCTCATTTTACAGGTCTGGGCATGAAACTTTGGGGAAATTATTAATTTTTCTTCAATACGCACCAAAAGGTTGTTACGGAATAAAATAATTCACATTTAAATAGCATGGGAATCTAAGGTCATGTCTGCTTTGTTTACTTTAAAACATGTGGTTTAACTTAATTAAAATCATATGGTAATCCGGTAATGTACTGTAATATGTGTAGGTACTATTTATAAAGCTGAAATTAACATTTTCCCAATTTTAAGGGTCTGGATTAGATAATGGAGTACGATTGGCTGTGTTAGGTTGCCTGAAAAAGTGTAAAGTTAGAAGTAATTACTGAGGTACGCCATAGGCAAAGGGAACATATTTTTCATGCCAAAAAATAAAAACTTATATCTACAGATTCTTATATATGCCGTTTAAGTTCACAAGGGTGCAATTCCCATTGAGATTAGCTTTCGCTATTCCTATAAATTAAGCGTAAGGCCAAACCTTCACAAAAGTTGGCATTTATTAAAAAAAAAAAAAAAAAACAACACACACAAAAAACTGTGTTAACCCATGGTCAATTTTATGTTGCTTTAGAAGGGTAAAGCGGCCAGATCATGTTAGATTAGTACTAGAACCAAATATAGACCAATGAATCGACCAAAATGGATACTATAAAACAAATGTTTTCAGAGAGATTTAGTTATAGAATTAGCATTTTTTTACAATTTGGAGGATGACATTGTCTCTACGTATTTTATCTAAGTGAATTTGTCTATATTCAAAGAAATTTACTGCTAGTTTTAAATAAAAGTCCATGTCTCATTTTAAATTTGTCAGATTTTATTTAGTAATTAATAAAATGAAAGCCAATAATTTACTGGGTAATTTGAGACAAGAAAGAACTTGATGACGTTTTATATGAAGATAATTGTAACGATTTATATCTCGTGTTGTTAATACAACCGAAGATATGAATATTTTAATAACGTCTTATTTCTAAAAAGGTCAATTTTATATTGTGTTGTGGTTTGTAGCTCGTCTCAAAATTTTCTGATTTTAATTATCAATAGCCCAAATAATTAAATGACAGCACTTACATCACCGAATAGTTTAAGGCTAGAACAGACTGCAAGCGTTAATAATAACTGGAGATGTAAGAAATATCATTTTAAAAAATTTCAAAGTACGAAACGTTTATTTATTTATTGCTCTTTACAATTTTTACATTCTGTAGCATTTTTACATTGTGTGATTCTAATATTTATAATTACATAGAGATATTTTATAAAATTACACTTTAAATTAAATTTAACTTTAAACAAATAAATCAATACATTTAAGAAATGGAGGAAAACTAAAAAAACATTATACATTTACGTTCATAAGAAATGTAAGGGGTAGGGTTTTCGTTTGAAAGCTAAAAAGGATACCTATCTAAAAAAGTATTCCAGAATTGAAATCATCGTAAAAATATCTAGCTTAAATTGATGTGTCACAAAACTATCATTTCATTTAAAATATTTTATTTATATCTATTATGTCATTCCAAGATGGCGATCAAAAAAGGATTATCTATCGAAATTAGGAACGAGAAAACGAATAAATATAAGCAGTGTACCAAGTCCATTTCTCGATGAATGCATGTGGTTTTTTGATTTGTCAATTTTGAGAAAAGCCACCATTTTTCATAGTCGTTAGGGGTTTTCGGCGGACTTTCTTTTAATCACTTTTAGTATGTCACTATGCAAAACCAAACACTAAAAATAAAACTATAAAACGTTTCATTGAAAATTTTTTAAGGTAATTTCTTATATTTCTCTGACTACTGCTGTAAGTAATTGTCTATTATGAAAAATTGAATTTTGGTATGTTTGAAAACGTCTACTTTTTCAGTGTTCCCATAGTCGGATTTTTGTTAGTATATTATCCTGTATAAATGATTTCAAAATATGGCTTAAATTTTCTTAAAGTAATTTTTCCTACCTCAAAGTGTATTTCACCCGGATTAGATGTAGCGGTGCAGCGCGCGTACACTGGAACACTGCTAGTGTTCCAAGTTGAAGACTAATAACAAATGTATCCCATAATATATCCCATCTTCAAAGCAAGATACAAACTGATGTGATAATTATTATTGTTCAAAATTTAATGCAGATTATTTTGATAGCCACAAAATATGTATGTTCATATTACCCGAGTTTGTATTTGCAAAAAATTAATGGTTTTACTAAAAAAAAATCTTTGAAATTTGGTATTTTTTAAATTTAAAGCTGTCTCATTTAAACAAAAAAAAAATTAATAATTAATAAAATAATAATGTTGTTATCTTGAAGTAGACCTAATGAGGAAGCTATTAAAACAAACCGGAGATTTTTAAGACGCTTAGTTGTAAAACTATATCCATTTTACTAAAAGCTTACATAAATCCAATATGGCGGAAGCTTTTTTCCAATATGGCGGCTTTCCGCCACTTCGATTTTTCTCAAGTATGATGTTGTGGACAAAATCCCATATATTTCATTTCTATTGCTTTAAGTTTGATGTTAGGCTTATTTTGAATCTAGATTGACAGCCTAATTTTATTACTGTTTTATTATTACTGTCTTCGCGCTCTCGCTCACACTCACACACGCTCTCCATCTCTCTCTAAACCACTGAGCTAAAATTATAACTGGAGGTAGCACTGTCATGGCAGAAGTCTGTCAATAGCGTGTCGCTGATTTTGTTAGGTTGGTATAGCAGTTGGTTTTCTTATCATAGCAATAACATGGCTTCTTATAACTAGGTTGGTATAGCAATAGCAGTGAGTTTTCTTGTCATAGCAATAACCTGGCTTCTTATGACTGGCGACACGCATCTTTGACATTCAGTGCTACCTCCAGTTAGAATTATAGCTCAGTGCTCTAAACCCTCTTTGTCGCGCTCGGTAGAACTTCTCTGGCCTTGGTTTTGTCCGGGGAAATGTCCGGATTGAAATTTTGCTGATAGTTACCACTGAGCTATAATAATAACTGGAGTAACCACTCTGTGTTTTAAAAACGTACCACTGTTTTTGCTGGTTTATTTGTTTCAGAGTTTCGTTTCGTTAGGTTGGCCGGGTAAAGGTCGATTCACACACATCAGTCCAGTCACAGTTCCGTTACAGTCCAGTTGCAGTCCAGTTACAGTCCAGTCACAGTTGCATCCGCAATTTCTCAATTTCTCAGTCAATTGTCCGTCAGTTGGTTTCAGTCAGTCTTCCGTCTCTAATATTTACAGTAATTTACAGTCAAAAAATTTAAATTTTAAACCTATATTCTATTAAAATATCATTGTCCATCTTGTTGATTGTTACAAACAGTACTCAAAATACAAGCGCAACCATTTAAATAACAATAACACTATTTTCTAACCTCAAACAGTTCCGTCAGGCGTCCGAACAATCAAAAAGTATCGTTGGAAAGAAATCTGAAATTGACTGACGGATGCCAGCAGAGTGACTGACGGGACTGCAACGGATGAGTGTAGATAGCGCAATAGAAAATCCAACAAAGAATATTTTTGTTAACTGTGACGTGCCTGAAGTGACTTTACTGTGACGTGCCGTAACTGATGTGTGTGAATCGACCTTTAAGGTCGATTCACACACATCAGTTACGGAACGTCACAGTCCAGTCACTTCAGGCACGTCACAGTTAACAAAAATATTCTTTTATGGATTTTCTATTGCGCTATCTACACTTATCCGTTGCAGTCCCGTCAGTCGCTCTACCGGCATCCGTCAGATAATTTCATATTTCTTTCCACCGATACTTTTGGATTGTTCGGACGACTGACGGACCGGTTTAAGGTTAGAAAATAGTGTTATTGTTGTTTAAATGGTTGTGTTTATATTTTGAGTACTGTTTGTAACAATCAACAAGATGGACAATGAAAACTTGATAGAATATAGGTTTATAATTTAAAACTTTTGACTGTAAATTACTGTGAATTTTAGAGACGGAAGACTGACTGAAACAAACTGACGGACTATTGACTGAGAAATTGCGGATGCAACTGAGACTGAACTGTTACTGGACTGTAACGGAACTGTGACTGAACTGATATGTGTGAATCGACCTTTAATCGGGTTGGTGGGACTTGTCAAATTAGAGACAAAATCAAGATGGCGTCATCCTGTTTTGTTGATGATGATAGTAAACAAATATCTGCCAACTCAACATTATGATTGCAATATAAGTTTATTTATTTATTTTACGAGCAAGAGCAACCCATTTTAACAAGATCATAAACCGATGGTCGTTATTTAATCAAATGCCACAGGGCTATTGGCCTAAACCGATATCTCCAAACCAGGAAACTTGACTCTGAGCCTATTTTCACCACATAGTTTGAATAGAGGTAAATAAGTTAGTATTTATTTACTATCAAACAAAAACAAAGTATAATGTTTCAAAATAACTTTAAATACAGAGGTTTTAACGTGCAATAACTTAAATAAGTTTTTGATACAAGTCCTTGAAATAACGGATAACATAACCCAAAATAAATAGTATGGTTAGGATAGAATGAATTGGAATTATTTGACAGCATCCCACCAACCGATCACAGGGCCAACCTAACAACACGAAACACCAAAAACAAACCAGGCAAAACAGTGGCACGTTTTTCTCTAACGTTTAACCAGAGAGTAGTGACTCCATCTATATCTCAATGATATTTACCTCCCTTCTCCCTGCATTTTTTTCTACTCAATTTTAGAGAAAAACTAACTCAAATTGTTTAAATACTGTAGCAAAATATAATAGTGATGTTTAAGCAACTTATAAAAATGATACGTAAAGTCTAATACTAGGAATTGTACCAAAAAAAATCATGCGGGATAAAACGGGATTTCTCGACCCAGTAAGCGGGATTATTTTTTTGGTCGTGTGGAAACACTGATTGACGGGAGCAGACGACTGTCAGTTCAGTTGTTCAGTTCAGTTGTTCAGTTCAGTTCAAGCATTGCTGATAGCTTAGCTAGCTTTTGATTTGACTTGAAACTTGAAGCTATCAGCCTTATTCTCCAATTTTATTTATTTATTTTAAATAAACTGAGATGTTTCAAAAACAATAATGTGAGTACCTATGGCATACAAATAATGGTCAAAAACTAGTTGAAATCAAATAGGCTATACACAGCAAATCAGATTTTAAGAAAAAAGCTGGTCAATGATCAAAATTAATTTGTTATGGTCCTTGTAATTCAAACAAAATAGTGCACTATCTCATAGCTGTAACAATTACAGTTTAGAAGTTATTACAACTTTTGTGATTTTTGCCTTTACCTAAAATATCATGGTTACTCCCATAGCTTACCCAAAGGTTGTTGACAAGCTAATGAGAGAACCTATGGCCTGTATCAGATTGCTGATAGCCTACCGTTTATTTCTGTTATTACCATGGCAATAGACATAACGTTGCCTCACAACAACGCTGCAGCCTTTTAATTAAAGGAGGCTGCTACAGTATTAGTATACTTTAAGTTAGGCCCTAATACTTTCTTACTAAACGACAACCATACAAAGTAGGTAACTTAAAATTTTATGCAAAGTAAGTAGATATGAATAGAGAAGTATGTTAGTGACTAAGGCCGACATTCCTTAGCTACAGCTGTTAATTCATAGCCCATACAGCTAATGCCAACTAAGGGACCTACAGTTTATAGTGGAACCTGAACCACATTTTTTCCTTGGTATATACAAAATGGTCTAATCATCAGGATACCACTGCGGATAAGTAGTCGTACTCACTAGTGAATAGTGCAATCAATGACCAATGTAAGTAGGCCTACCTTACGAAACCATAGATGAAACATCCCTTAGTAGATTTAACATTATGGTATTTAAGTCATTAAAGCTCATTTAACATCTATATCTATAGGCCTATCTACTTCTATACTATTATATAAAAATCTAATGGTGTCTGTATGTGTATTACTAATAGGTGCAAAAGCTACTGTACAAACTGGACTAAAATTTTACAAAAATATAGTTACCATACCGAGGACCATTATAGGACTATTCACATTTCGATACTGACCGTAGGCTTTGCCCCTTTGGCTTTAAAGGTTGTGAGGTGAAGATTTTAAAAGTAAATATTGATTAGTCTCCATGGCTGCAGATGAGAACACTTAACAATGTTTGTTTACATTTGGTTTGTCATTTAAATGTAAACAAGAAGAACTGCTAAACTGCATATTTCACAATTTCAGACAGCTGATACAAAGAAATTAAATATAATATTTTCCATAACCATGAGGTAGGTTTATTTTAATCTGACCTTTTATCATGGATTATTTATTCTAAAACTATGTCAATGATTATATGAAAAAAAGATTCTATAACCGTTGCTGTATCAACTCCGGCTCTGCTTTGGATTTTTTTTAAGCGTCTAAGTTATGAAAATAATGTTATTAATGTGATTTGATGGAAACAGTATGAAAATTACAATGTATAGATATTTTATATGAATTTGGAGGCTACTTTAAATAAATTCTAACTCCAACTCCTTAACATGTGTTAGATTAACTTAACATAACTTGCACATCACATTGTTTTTTATATGTATATTTAGGTAAATTAAGTTATTGTGTTTTGCTAAACCTATGCATAAATTAAACTAAAGAATATCATCAATAACTAAATTGTACTGTGTTGATTTGTTTTTAAATCTGTTGTATGTAACTATAATTATTAATTATCAAATGGTAATACAAAATACTCTTATTTTATCTTAACATAGCTTTCAGTTCACATTTACTTTATTTGATACATTTATTATTTGTGTTTTGCCACACCACTGATTAAATTAAACCAAGGAAAATATCATAAAACTAAGCAGTACAAAGTGTTCTTTTGTTTCTAAAATCAATGAAATATCTGTTACTATGTTTACTTTATGGTAAGTGTGAAAATGTAAAACCAATGGACGATGGAACTGATTACATAAAAGAACTGGTTTGTATATTAAGTTGTTTGTTGATATTTTTGTAGAGTAGAATCAGAGATGCAATGAAACATATACACTGTATTTGCTGTTAAATTGTTTAGGCATTGATGCTTTGATAATCATATTAGTTTTGTCTGCTGTCTTTAATGCTAAATTATTTGTTTAACATTTTTTATAGTGCCTATAGATATAGTTTCTTTAATATTTAAAAGACTGTATTGAAAAGGCATAGCAATATTTCTAAAGTTTATAACAGCTGACTTAGTTTGTGCTAATGATTTATTGTGAGTGAAGAAACTGAAGATGGAAGGATTTGTGATTTAATATAGGGTAAAGAAGAGTGACATTTAAAAAAATGTTCATATAAATTTAATAATTAGTAGTAACTTCAAAATTGAAATTTAAAATGTCAATAATAAATAAAAAGATATGTTAACTTACTAAGGGAGATGAAATGGTGGTATCCACTGCTTACCAGATTAAAGTCATAACTTAAACATTTCTATTAGCTGGCCATAAAAGTTGAATTTTGTTTCTAAAAGCGTTGGGGGATGTGTAACTATTATAGCAACAGATGTAAAGATTAAAATGTTTCTATTTTGTGTCCTCTTCCCGTTGCAAAGCACGGGTACAACAGCTAGTACTGTAAAAAACTATCCAAGTAATAATAAACAATAACTCGTCTTAGTTACAAAACCAAACAGTTTTTAAAGCACAAATCATGAAATTAACCCTAAAATAATAAGCTTATAATAAGCTAAAAATGTCGACAGTAGCGATTAGTGTCAACAAAGTTAATTTTTTCTAGATCTCTTATAAAATATTATTGTGTAGGCCTACAACATATAAGTTACTGTTGACATTTGAATAAACACCTCAGGTCACTCTGTTAACTTAAATGTCACCAGCAATAAAAATAAATGGTACCTATCAGCAATCTGACACATACTTTCTACCAAAAAGCTCGTCAACAACCTTTATCATGGGTAAGCGGTGGGAGTAAATATGTTGTTTTGGCAAATATTTACTGTACACTGGGATATGATGTAATTTTTATGTGACTACTTACAGTATTTTTAACGCTGAATCCAAAAATGCAATCAGTTTTTGTCGGAGAGATTCCTAAGTGGCCGTAGTGGCCGTAAAACGAAGGTTAGGATTACGAATCTAAGGATAATTGAGCGGTATTGAAGGTAAATGGTAATATGGCGTGGTCTGGACGGGTCCGTACTGAGTGAGAGGTGAGGACTGAGTGAGAAGAGCAAACAACTGTTTATACTTGATCTAATGCGGAAAGAAATCAAATCAATTTGTTTTGAAACCAAATACGGTAATCAGTTCTTACTTAGGCATGTGAGGAAGGTAGGTCGGGTTTTATGTGGATTCGTGACTGTATTAAGTGTTTTGAAGTGGGGTAGATTAGGAAGGTAAAGATTAGGTTATAATGAACCGACTCATTAATTTATGCAACTTTAAGAATGTTTTTGCACAGTTAAATAAGTTAGTGGGTGAAACACAATGAAATATTGAGTTTAAAAAAGAAATAATTTAGTATATATGAAGCGCTGTTGTATGCCTAAGAAGGGTCACGGAGAAAATTCAAAAATAGTATAATTTAAAATTATCACGTTATTCTTATGGATAAAATTAAAACTGTTGTAGTTTACTTGTTTATGGATATATGTTGATAAAATTTGGTAATGCCTTAATATTTTTATCTTTTGTTCTATAGGCTACCCATATAATCTAATATAAATTATTAAGAATAATAATCGTGGGTGCTATCTCAGGTATTCAAATGCCTCCCAATTGTTCATTAACCCACCACATTAACTGTCATTAAAAGAAGGTACTCAAATAATACTACCTACTAATGCGAAACTTAAATACACCCAAGCTGTGCAACGGAACCAGACTATTAAAAATATATAAACTATTTTTTATTTAAAAAATGACACAAAACTTGATTGAAGCAACAATCATCAATGGCAAGTTTAAAGGAGAAATAGTCTTAATCCAAAGAATACCGATGATTTCATCCGAATTGCCCTTTGAATTCAAACGACTACAATTTCCTTTGCGTTTTGCTTTCGCAATCAGCATTATAACGCACAAGGCCAATCCCTGACTATCGCCAGTTTAAATTTAGAAAATGCATGTGCTTTCCACACGGACAGCTGTATGTTGCGTGCTCACGTGGTGGTAGGTACACCTAAAACCTTATATATTTTTACATCTAATGAAAAAACAAAAACATTTTTTATCCACTGGCAGTTAAGTAAAATAAATATTCTATTTTTGTTTTTGGTATAATATTTTTATTATTTATAGTAAAGAACAAATTACCATTTAAAATAATAGTTGTTAGCGTAGCAACACAAGCCGGGTAATTGCTAGCACAAATCTAAAATAAATCAAACAGAGACACCATATTAAGCTTCAGAATTTCTAAATTGTTTTAAATAACTGGTGAATCTTACCTTGCACATACTTTTTACTGTAGCATAGTATAATCTGTTTTTTCATCAAGATTTTTTTGTCCAAGTAAACCTTTTCTTTTTCAGACCAAGTACTGTATTGTTTCCAATGGAGACCTCCGCCACCACCAGGCGATGCCTTCCAAGGGTGATGGTCGATGATGTTTTCCTAGCTCCAGTTCATATTAACGCTGGAGGAACTGTCTACACAACCACTCTGGAAACACTTACCAAGTAAATAAAAATTTTTCTCTGGCGAACGTTCAGATTGAGGGTTTAATAACATTTTGTAAGACTAAATTACTTAAGTCATCCCTTACGTAAGTAATTTAATAAAGGGATTACGGAAGTAATTTAGTCTTACATTGTGTCCAACAGCTCAGGGGCTACAAACATGGATTTTAATTGAATAACATTTTGTCATTTTCTAATTAGGCCTAATTGCTTTATTAAGTTTTAGTTAAATGCCAATTTTTGAGCTAGTATAACAATTATTTGATCGTCAAAAGTAAGTGGTAGCATTTTTTTTTTAATAATGAGTGTGGCCTACAGTTATGAAATATAGTTGGGTGTGACAAACTTTGGTCAAACCCTGTCAGATTAGGACGAGTATTGTAATATAGCCTAATGCCAAATACAGTATTGACTTTACAAATTTGATGTGACAAAAAATAATAAGTGGATGATTTTTAACCTAAAACCTATATTAATTGTCACCTTTGGGACTGTGTTATGGGTCACAGAAAGTAAATTTAAAATGTTTTGGGAAAAATTAAAACCGTCTACGTTGAAAAATACATATTTATATTTTAATTCTTAAATGCAAGAATACAGAACTGTTATTTTGTATGTTGTTCTTGTTTAATATTTGTACTGAAATGAAATCACATTTTAAAATAATCTAAGTACAGATGCGAAGTGACGGATAACAGAGAGTAACGGTTAAAAGGGTGGCGGTTAATCGAGGTTCTACTATACTGAGTTTACAGCCTTATGAAAGAATCTCTGATAAACTTTCAACTACCACAGACATTAGGGATCAAAACCAGCAACCAATGAATAACATAGGCTGTCAAAGCCGACTTTCAGTCCAACCTAGGCCCTTCCCTTTCCTCGTCTCCACTCATACTCTTGTATAAATAATTCATAATGCTCATTTCTGTTCAAGCAAAAATAAATGTGTATAGGCCTACATATTATAAAGAGAAGACAAATTCTGCGATTTTGAAATTTGCTAAACAATTTGAATTTATACATGTAGCCACAGATAGCAGAGGTGAATCCAAGAGAGGGGCACGTGCCCCTCCCCCACGACCTGACTTGACACTAGATAAAATGTATTTTTTACAAGAAAATATTATTAATAACATTACCAAAGCCTTGAGTTGATGTACAGAAAAGGTACCGTAATCAAAATATAGCCTAATGTTTTTTTACATTTAAAATGAGATTCAAGGTGATGATGAAAGCTATAATAATATTATAAATTAGGTTGCTCTGAAATACACCAAAACTTGAGTTTTTAATGTTATTGTTATTGTTATTATTTAACCCCGATCCTCCCTTTTCACCGGGGGGTATTCCATACCCCCCCCCCCATTGTGCCCCTGACGGACAGTATGAATCATTAAAAAAATATTTCCTTATACTGTAGTAAAAGAAAGACTTATATTCCCAATTTAGATTTATTTTATATTAAACATCAGGTTTATTGAGCACTTAGGTTTGTTATACAAGGTGGCACAGATGGATCGTGTGGTTGAAGTGTACTGTACGTCTGGAGGGGGAGCCAGGTGTTCGGCGGTATTTGTTCTGTGGTGGGGGAGACGGGAAGTTTCAGTTGCACTCTGGCAGTCAGTCACAATGGCTACGTGGTCCGTTGAGCATCGTGTTTTCGCAGTGGAAGAGTTTATACTCAATAACGAGTCAATTTTTGCTATGACGCGTGCCTTTCGCCGGTGTTTCAACATCCCACCTCGCGGTAGTGTTCCTAAGTGAGATACGATATTGAGTTGGGTGCATAATTTTCGCACTACTGGTTCATGTGCTGCAAAATGGACGCCTAGACTTCGAACAGTAAGAACGCCTTAGAACGTGGAGCGTGTGAGACGCGATGTCAATATGAGCCCCTGTCGATCAACAAGACGTCATGTTCCAGCTCTTGGAATGTCACATCCGAGCCTTCCAAAATTCTTAACAAAGAACTGAAATTCCACCCCTATAAAATCATAGTGGTGCAGAAGATTCTCTCAACAGACCGTCTTAAAAGGCTTCTGTATAGCCGACGGATGTTGGAGTTATTGGAAGATGAAAACCTGATTATCAATATGTCTGACGAGGCTCACTTTCACATTAACAGCTACGTCAACAACAAAAATTGCCGTTACTGGGCCGACACTAACCCAAGAGACCTACACCAACCTGGAGTCTTTGGTGTGGGGTTTCTAAGGTAGGGGAAATTGAGCCTTGAAAATAAAGAGAGCAGGCTGTTACTGTTAATTCGCAGTGTTATGTAAACATGATTGAAGAATTTATCCTCCCACAACTTAAAAAGAACAATTATGACATGAAAAATATGTGGTTCCAACAAGACGGGACAGCTGCACATACCGCTAGGATATCAATCCAAGCTGTCCCCACTCTGTTCCCTGGCCGTTTGATTTCCCGTAACAGAGATTTCCATTAGCTAATGAACCTCACCCTCGCTCACCGGACCTCACGGTATGTGACTTTTTCCTATGGGGCTATTTAAAAGTAAGGGTCTACATTAACAAACCACGTACCATTCAGGAGTTGAAGGCTGCTATTCACAATAAAATCACATCATTTCCTGGTGATGTGCTTGAGCGGGCAATGCGGGAACCTTAAGGACCGACTCCACAAGAATTCGTCGCTCGAGAAGGAGGGCATTTTATGGATGTAATTTTTAAAACTAAATTTACTCATTTTTTTAATAAGCTTCTATTGTAACTACACGTTTTGCAATTCTTTTCAATCCAATACCTTTAAAATTTACAATTTGACCAGTATTTTAAAACCACCCGATCCATCTGCACCACCCTGTACAAGGTAATACAGTGTGTGTGCGTTTTTTTAGCAAAATGATATAAGCTTAGTTTGCAGTACTAATTAAATTTGCCAAATTTAATCAAAATATTTATATCTATAAACTACGACAGTTTATTTTTTATAGATTCTCCAACGTTATGTTTTGAGAATTAAAAAAAACAATTATTACCTTATTTTATTTTTACAAAAAATGTATTATTTATATATATATATATATATATATATGTGTGTGTGTGTGTGTGTGTGTGTATATAAATACATACATATATAATATTTAAATTTATTCTCAAAATATTATTTTCCTTGAATAATTTTATAATTATGTAAAACATCCTAGTAGGTACGTAATTTTTTAGGTACGTACTAGAGGCCAAATATATCATCAGTTCAAATTCATATATATATATAGGTATATTTATATATGTGTCCGTTAGCACGATAACTCGAGCAAAAATCATCCGATTTTGATGAAATTTGTGTACAAACATGTAAACCTACGTTTATTCAAACGAGTTCGCGAACCAGCATGATCGGACTATGGGAACAGGGGTTTATGGGGGGTTTTATGGGGTAAAAATTTGTTTTTCCCATTTTTTACCCTAAAAACTTAAAATTTAGCAATTTCTTTCCAAACCATTTTGTAGAGCTTTAAAAAAACAAATAATTTAGTATTTGAAGCGTTATTATGCGCCTAATGGTTGCGGAAAAAATTCCAAAAATCTGTAAATTTAAAATTCCCATGTTATTCTTATGTAGAATAAGTAATCTGTTGTAGTTTGCTTGTTTATGAACATATTTTGAACAAATTTGGAAAATGCATTAACTTCATACTAAACTATTACATTTTACAAAAAATACTTTTTACCCTCCCTGTTGCAGGAAACCTAAGTACTCGTTAAACTAATGTTATTTAAATAAGGAATAAATGTGATATTTTTAAGGAGACATTTTGATTTTAGTGTAAATCCAGTCAGGCAAATGGAAATTCGCTTAGTCTGCAGGTTTGCTGCGGCGGGGGTATTCTTATGTTTCAGTGTTACTGGTATTTTTGGTAAATAAATAAGACGATGCAAATTTGTTAACTATTGGTAGGCTATGAGGGAGAAAACTTTTGAATTTAGTGAGAAAATATTTAAACATTTTTAGGATATTTCTAGTTTGGTTTGTGTGCTAATTTTCAATTAACAGTTTTTTTTATTGACCGCAGTGCGCTTCTAACTTTCTCCCTGTGAAGTTTTTCACTCTTTTATTCGAATGCTGTAACCTTAGGCTATAAATTTCTTACGTATTGCCTTCGAAATTAAAATTAAATGATTTTGATCAAGGTCTTGATCAGTAGAAAGAATCACACTCTACTCGCTTCACCAGCTTGTCACAACTAATTCCTCGCTATATTGCCAGTCTACCTTGGTTGCTGATAATAACCAATAGATGGTTTATATGATGCCTTACTGCAGAAAGACTTATGTCAATGCATTGAATTTAAATTTTACCTTGCAGAGTTCATTAACATTTTGGAAATATTAATTCTAAAATATTATGATGCAGAATAAAGTATTTCTTTTTACAAATTTTAAATAGTGGACGGTTATTATTTAATTTAATAATGCTAACTTAGTTTCACTTGGTAAATAAAACGTTTGATGTGTTTTACATTTCTTTAAATTTATCTGTTAGTAATTCCCAAACTGCAACTGCAAACTGCATTAGATTCTAGAGTAAGGAAGATTTTGTGATATCAGGTATTTGGATTGTATAATATACACTGTTTTGATGATTAGGTATGTTAAGTTATTCATTTTGTTATTGATTGGCCTCAGATACAACTGATTTTGCAGGTATCCTGACTCAAAATTAGCAAAACTGTTTGATGGGACGTTGCCCATCTCTGTTGATCCAATTAGCCGACAATATTTCATTGATATCAATGGAAGTGTGTTTGCCCACATCTTGGACTTTTTGCGACACGGTGAACTTTTGCTCCCCGACCATTTCACCCAACTTCCTTTGTTAATCAAAGTGGCCGATGCCTTAGGGATTCAAGGTAAGCATGATTTGTAGTTTATGTTTGTTTTTATTAAAAAAAGTTTGAAAAAGGCAGGTATTTATGAGCCGTGCAGCATATGTGCTTGTTTCAAATTTTATTCATACCTATCCAGTGATGATTTTGATGATTGAGTTGTCAGTGATAAACACTCATAATTTTGTTACTGAAAATTTTGAAAGTTTAAAGTTTTTATTTACTTGTTTTTAAAGGCATTACTTATGCAAACAAAACAAAAATAACTCTTAAGTGAATATGCTATAGTATATATCTAGTTTGTTACATAGCTCCTTTTATGTTATTTTAGAGATGCTGAGATGCTTGATTATCCTAAAAGGTAAACAAATACTTTCAAACGTAAATGAGTCTGATGAAGACGATGGAACTGAATATGAAAAGCATGGAAAATCATGGATACTAAATAGTTTTGAGAAAAACAATGTTGAAAACTCAAAACCATATAAAAATGTTGGTTTTAAAGAATTGAACTTTGAAAAAGAAACTAAAGGGAGGGATCAATTGTCTGAAACCAGTCCTACTGAGGCAGTAATCACTGACACTTTGGGAGAAAGCAAATTAGAGGAAAAACATCTCAAAACAGACAGCATGAAAACAGGAACTTTTGAAATGAAAAGTATTAAATCTAACATCATAGAGAAGGAAAAAGTTGAAGCAAATTTAATAGAAACTGATACTATAAAATCAGGATCAATCGAGGTATCAACTATGCAATCTCAGTCCTTAGACTTGGAGAATGTTCAAATTAAAACTGCAAAAACAGACAATGTTAGTACAAACCACCTTGAAACAGGAGTGTTAAGATCTGACATAACTCATATGGTATCTGTAGAAGCAGCAAATGTAGAAATTACCTCCATTGACGCTGGTGCAGTAATGACTAGAAACCTGGAAGTCAAAACTCTTAAGGCCAATGCATTGGAAGTTAGGACCTTGAAGGCTGGAGTTTTAGAATTAGAAACAAATAGAGGACCTACAAAGGTTGTGTTAGTGCGATATGATGAATATTACAAGATTATAAATATTTACTCACCTGATCAACTAAACCTGAGAAATCCCATGTTCCCCCAACAAATGCTTCGATCACAATACATTGGTAACTGTAACCGGCTGTATTTTGAATTCCTCAACCTGAGCTTTAAGGATCCTCAGACAGGAGCAAGTTTTGGTGTTCCTTACTTGTTACATTTATTCGATCAACTTTTAAGTAAAGGATACCAGTTTTCCTCTGTTGTTACAGCGGGTGAGTTAAGCTATACAAGAGACTATGTGCTGGTTTGCTCTTCATCCGCTGTGTAGGGGATTTGAAATGAAAGTCCAGGTCTCAAGGTTGGGTAAAATAATGAAATAACATCAGTAAAGAAACACAAGAATGTACAGGGAAGCTTGAGACAATTAAAACAAGGAAAGAGCTGTGGTCTATTAATGATGGTGGACATTCCTTAATGTTAGATTATTTGGGTAATATAGGTTTTATTTGGGTATCTAAATCCTCCATCTTGTTAATAATTTCAAATGACTATTGTTTCCAAGAGTCGACAGTGTACATATTAAATCACTGGAACAACATGCATAATTGTCATGATAAGCTATGTTATAACATTATAGGCTACAGCTTCGTAACACTAACATATTAGTTTAACCCAGATTGTTTTTATCAAGTCTAATAAAAGTATGTTTTATTAAAAATGTGTAAACGTAAAACAGTGCTTGTCTTTTTATGTAAGGTATCCTTCCATAATCTACATAAGTAAAAAATATCTGGTAACATTTATTTATTTCGGTTCAGTCATGATCCACCATTTTGTAATTTTTCAAAAATAACTAAGCAACTGATATTTTTTTGAAACTTTGTATGAAATTAAAGGTGTTTTGTTGTTTAAAAGTTTCTTAATTAATGTTAAGCAAACTGATTTCAAAATGGCGGCCTTTTAGAATGTTCAAAGTACATTTTTGTGAAAATCTGCTTGGAGCTTGTTAATCAATATTATATACAAGATTGAATTTAAAGCACGTCTAAACCCAAATCCATTGACACTTTGATTCTAAAGATCGGTTAACAAATAATGTTTTGGCAATTTTCATTGAATCAAATTTTAAAATGGTGGAACATCTAGAATGAATAATTCGGTTTTTTCACCCCTACCTGAGGCTAAGACAGGGTTCCCACGGACCGGGAAAGTCAGGGAAACAGGTATAGGGTCAAGAAAAGTTTTTAAAAAAGGCCGCAAGTCAGGGAAAAATTTAAAAAATAATGTTAAGTCAGGGAAATTTACTAAAAACTTCTATAGATCGCATTAATTTTTTGGATGATTAGTTATATTGAAATGAAATAGTTGCTGAAAAGATGACTAAGTTCTGAAAAATCTGGTGATTATGTAATTTTTATTACCATTATTTTGTTTTATTTAGAGCTGTAAGTATTTAGAATTTGATTTCTTATTTGTTATTGTATTAATAAATATCCCTGCTGCAGCAACCCTCAGACTAAGCAAATTTCTATTTACCTGGCTGGATTTCTAAAATATTCCTTTAAAATAATTTCCAATTCAATTAAAAGATTAATTTTAATTAGTACATAGGTTTGTTGCTACAGAAAATATAATTAGGAGTGCTTTTTATTTAAATCTTGATAGCTTAATAATCTTAATATGAAATAAACAAATTTGTCAAAACAAAAAAAGTAAATCGGTCGGTGGTCTAGGTCTTACTTATCATGAGACCTGCGGTACTAAGATGAGGTGTAATGGCGCCTATGGGGATGGTGGAGGTCGTATTAAATTTTAAAAAGTAGTTTTTAAGCGATAAGTACTTAACTTATGTTTAAATATTGTGTATATTAAAAATATTATAATTGTAAATATTATATATCTAAGGCTTTTGATTGTGTGGATCACTCACTCCTGTTGCTGAAACTTAATGACTATGGGATTGGGGGAAATTGCTTTTCTTTAATACAATCTTACCTTTCTGAAAGAAAACAAAGAACTTCAATTTTAGAAGATAACAACAAACATTATTCAACATGGGAAATTATATCCATAGGTGTTCCCCAAGTAGGTATTGGGCCCACTTTTTTTTCTTATTTACATTAATGATCTTCCAAAAGCTATTAATAAAGAACTAATTCTTTTTGCCGATGACGATGACACTACTGCTTTGATCAAAAATAATAATACAACTGAAGTGTTTTCTTCCCTGCAAAGTGTGGTAAAGGATATGGAGCAATGGTTTTTAGTAAATGGGTTAAAACTTAATGTTGAAAAAAAACAAATATTATTGAATTTTCTACTAGACACAAAAATATGGAAAACTGTTCTTAATTTAGTTGAAGCTCATAAATTCTTAGGGATTTACGTAGATGACACAGTTAAATGGGATTCACATTTTGAATTATTTACATAACAAAATTAGGTCGATATCATCTTTATTCATACATTTAAGGGACTGTGTTTCTATTGAGACACTTAAAGTAGTTTATCATGCTTATGTGGAGTCAGTGTTAAGATATGGCATAATTTTATGGGGTCAAGCTACTGGTATTAAAACTTTATTCAGGTTACAAAAACGTATTATTCGCATTATCACCAACTCTCATCCACGCAGTTCTTGTAAGAAACATTTTCAAAATTTAAGAATTCAGACATTAACGGGGTTGTATATTCTAGAATTATTAAATTACATACATTCAGTTAAAAATGAGCTACCAGAAACAATACATTTTAATCACAGGTATGAAACCTGAAATGAAATTAAAATATATTTAGACTCCCCAGACACCGTTTGACCCTATATGAAAAATCTCCACTGTATGCTGGGCTGAGATTGTACAATTTGCTTCCGCCATGCTATAAGTCATTAAGCAAAACCAAATTTAAAGATACAATAGATAATTTACTTATTGACAATGTTTTTACTTAATTGAAGATTTTTATAGAACTACAATGTAGGATTTTTAGTTTTATTTTAAGTGTTTAGTTTTAAGTTAAAAGTTTTAATGTTAAGTAATTTATGTATAGATTTAATTTTGACAATGCACCTATTCTAAATGTTATGACATGTATGGAATGTTTTGTGCAAATAAAGTAAAAAAAAATGTATATATATGGTACGGTAACATTTATTTATTTTGGTTCAGTCATAATCCACCATTTTGTAAATTTTTAAAAATAACTCTGAGCCCCTTGATATTTTTTTGAAACCTTGTATGAAATTAAAGGTTTTTGTCGTTTAAAAGTTTCTAAATTAATGTTAAGCAAACTTATTTCAAAATGGCGGCCTTTTGGAATGTTCAAAGTACAATTTTGTGAAAATCAGCTTGGAGCTTGTAAATCAATATTACATACAAGATTGAATTTAAAGCACTTCTAAACCCAAATCCATTAAGATCGGTTAACAAATAAAGTTTTGGCAATTTTCATTGATTCCAATTTAAAAATTGTGAAACATCTAGAATGAAAAATTCGGTTTTTTCCACCACTACCTGAGGCTAAGACAGGTGAGGCTTTTCAGGGTTCCCACGGACCTGGAAAGTCAGGGAAACAGGTATAGGGTCAGGGAAGGTCAGGGAAAGCTTTTAAACAAGGCCGCAAGTCAGGGAAAAACTTTAAAACTAATGTTAAGTCAGGGAAATTTACTAAAAACTTCTATAGATTGCGTTAATTATTTGGACGATTAGTTATATTGAAATGAGATAGTTGCTGAAAACGTGAAAAGATGACCAAGTTCTGAAAAATCTGGTGTGTTTGTAATTTTTATTACCATTTTTTGTTTTATTTAGAGTTGTAAGTATTTTATTTAGAATTTGATTTCTTATTTGGTATTGTATTAATAAATATCTCCGCCACAGCAACCCTCAGATTAGGCAAATTTCTATTTACCTGGCTGGATTTCTAAAATATTCCTTTAAAATTATTTCCAATTCAATTAAGATTAATTTTAATAAGTACATAGGTTTGATGCTACAGAAAATACGTATAATAAGTAGTGTTTTTTATTCAAATCTTGATAGCTTAATAATCTTAATATGAAATAAACGAATTTGTCAAAACAAAAAAAGTAAATCGGTCGGCGGTCTAGGTCCTATCATGAGTAGTGATGGCAAAATTTCTCAAAACATCGTTGAGAAAAATAATGTAAAAGAAGGGGGGAAATGCTAGTGGCGCAAGTAAACAACATTCTGACAACAAAAGAACACAATAAAACTAAAACTATAAAATTAACTTATTTTTTTATAGTTTATTTAACACTGATATTTTAAAATTTTGATTTTGATTTGAAACATCACAGAAAAATATAAGAATGTTAAATAAAAATAAATCCTGAGTAGGCCTAGTATGTTTTATTTGTCTAATGAACGTTTTAACTGAAAATAAAATGTTAAATTAACATAGAATAAAAAGAACCTCATATTACATGTTATAACGTTGGTGTATAATTTCAAAATATGTCAAATAAAATTTAAATATAACTTAATACCAGTAAATATAGTAAAATTATACTGCTGTTCTGTAGCAAGAGCAAGCAGGCCAGCAAAGAGTAATTAATTTGTAGCGAGCTGTCGTCTGCCGTGTCCATCTCGTTGGCCCGTTCAGACTATTTTTTTCTTTACCTAGTCAGTTAATTTATACTGTTAATGTAAAATTTCGTTCAAAATAAAAATATAATAGCTCGAACAATGCATTTCTGGTTCTGGTTTGGCAAAAATCTACATAAATAACCGCTGATAACCCATAAAGAGCAAGCTCGATGTTTTTGGGTGAACACATTGAAGCTCGATATATTTATATCGTACTGCAAAAATTGATGTTAAAACATCGATGATTGAAACGATAAAAATCGATGTTTCGAAAAGATCGATATTCATTTGCCATCACTAATCAATCATGAGGCGGTACTAAAATGAGGTGTAGGCCTAATGGCGGCTATGGGGATGGTAGATGTCGTATTTAATAAAAAAAGTTGTTTTTTAAGCGAGAAATACCTAAATAACTAGGTACTTAACTTATACCTAAATATTAAGAAAACTCACAGTACCTAAAATATGCCATGGTCAAAGAAATTAACAGAAATCGGTTAGGAAATTCACTTAAGCTATTTTTGTGAGAACCCTTTAAGAGCTAGTTATAATAATTCTAACGCTAATAATTTCCCCAACTTTGCTGCACTCAATCATGGTTCACATTTTCTTTTTATAAGCAGAAAAGCCTTATTGAAAATACAGTAACAGAGCAGGCACACATAAAACATAATAATTAACCACGACTGTCTCTAGGAGGGAGAGTGAGAGTGTCTGCATGCTAACACTCAAAACCAATCAGCGTTTGATAGCATTTTAATGAAACTTCACTTACATTTTTATATCCTCTCAATTTCCTTTATTACCTATATAAATTCAAATTTATTTTAAAAATTGAAATCTTTCTACACATTGTAGTCTGCTGTAGAACAAAGAATAATTTTACATTAAATTTTGCAAGTTTGTTTAAACCTAATTATGATAATTGTTATATATAGGTGGTTTATATAATATTAATAGAAAATTTTATGGCTGTTAAAAATATTAAATATAGCACTTGATTTTCCAAATTGAATTTCTTCCAAAATTTCTCAACTTGTTGAGGAATTGTTCCTCTTGATCCAATGAGTAGTCCATATACTTCAAATTTACATATTTTATATTTCTCCGAATAATAGGGGATAGTTTTCTTATAAATATTTACTTTTTCTTCGTGGACTTCCTGTGGCTGAATTTCATTTGTCTCAAGACGAACTGTTGAGTCTATAATGAGACCGAAATCTTTCTCCTTGTCTATAACAATGATGTCACTCCGCCTCACAGAGCCCTCTTCTATAGCCGTGACCTCTTCATAGACCTCGTAACTTTTCTTTTGAATGCATCAGCTATGATTTTTCTTATGGTATGGTGGCGGGTATTTCGTAGAAGACTAGGTACTAAATGGGCACTTTCCAAGGACGTGGGCAAGAGTTTCGAGTTTCAAGAATAAATTTCTCAGATACAGGACAATGCCTGCACTGGTTCCCGTCCCTGGATCTCCCATGAAGACTTCTAAAGAGAAATAACGTCTCCGACCATTTTCAAGTATTGTTTGAACTCAGCTTCTGTGAGGCCACAACCTCTAGCCAAATTTGTATTGATCTTGTTACATTCTTTGAAAAGAATAATATTTTACCTAGCTGTGTGTGCCCGTTCTACGCACGGGGATCTTATCGTAGTCAGTTGAAACCTTGAACAGCGATTGGTTTGCATATTTTTGTTGAAATTAAAGAAAATAACTACTGTTTATACAGGAAAGATTAATTGTATTTAGACATTTTGCTATGTTCACATCTTACTACTTATTTTGACCCAAGAAATCACTACGTAAATTATGTCGCTAAACAGGCAGTTTTGATTCAAAGTGCTTAACAAGTTAAATCTTCAAGGTTTCATAAACTTAGCGAACAGGCACTATTATAGAGATAGGCCGGTAACTTCCCATATCATCAGGACTTCTTAAAAATTGGTAGGCCTACAGTTTTAGTGACTTTCAATGCATCGGGAAAAAACCCCGTGGGACATGCAGACATTGAGCACTTGTGCGATGGGGAGGGGATCACAGCGATGATATCGGCAACATGTTTCAGAACAATAATGTCTATATAGTCGAGTTCTTAACTATAACTGTTTAATTATTTAGATGATAGTTTGTTTGAGGCGTTACATTAGACCAGTTATTTATAAAGTGGTGGTATATGTCCAAAAAAGTAGTAGGATTGAGTATAAACCTAACCTAGAGAGCCCACCGCTATACTGTTAGTCGGTACCGCTTTTGACGACGTAGTTCGGGCCGCTGACGCTTGGGTCGTGGTAGGCAATGGTTATGTCTATACTCAATGGTAGTAGGCTAATGGGTCAATACAATAAAAAATACGTAATTCTTGGTTCGATATTATTTTCCATACGATAGAGCTTCATATCAACATTTATTTGTACTTTTTTCAGGTTGTTTTCGAGAATCAAAGTATAACCATAGATAAAACATACATATTTTACCTATGGTACATAAAACATACATGTTTTATCTATGGTATATACAGTAATGAGTGCTAGTGGAGAAGGGTCCCTTCATTCTTTAGGAGCTAATGCTGACTTGCACTCTTTATGAGCTAACGGGTTTTATGCGTTTAAACCTTTTAATTGAAAGCTCCGAATCCGAAAGAATTCGAACTGTCCAATTGGTCCGAAAGAATTCGTAGCAATTGCAGGTAGAAATAATTTTTCGGAGCAATTGCAACTAAATGTGGTTTGGATTTAAATGAGTCGGGGCTGTATGACCCAAACACAAAAGCCTGCCTCTCAGAGATCGGAAAAGCCCCCGTTCTCGACGCGATCGCGATCACGTCGTGTTTGTGTTGTTTGGATTTGCTCCAAACCATTATTAGGATTAGGTTATGTTTGTTTACTAAACTGTTGAGTGTTTGTGTTGTGTTGACTTTTCTATCAGATCAATCATCAATCGCGTCCGAGAATACTAACTTTATCTGAAAGAAAAATAATTAGGTTAAGTATTTTTTCTCTAGCAGTTATCGAAGTTTTATCAATATTATAGAACTATAATAATGAAGAGGAAATCCACCGAAACTTCAACAGGCAAACATCCAAAGAAGAAAGGAAAATGCATTACAGAAACTAAGTTGAAAGAGATGATATCAATATTTTTAAGTGACAAAAAACATTCAAATATATTGATTGATATTCTAGCTCAATTTCAGGTAACTTAAGATATATTAAAATATTTAAATTGTTTTACCTAGGCTACCTAATCTCTACACATTTAAGTTTTTTGTCATAGGTAAGCTTAGTCCTAGCCTACAATCACATCTTTTCTAAATAGGCCTAGGCCTCAAATTAAGCTTGGGGCCTAAGTTAATACGTTAGTCCACAGGTAAGTTAACTGGTGACATCGCTATTTATTAATTTTGACTAACCTAGGCTATTTTGCAGAACTTTGATACACAACTCCAATGGTTTAAAAATGATGTTAATTAACTTACACAACTGATTCTTCCATTATAAATTCAATCAATCAATCAATCAAAATATCTTTATTTCATAATATGCAAACATATAGTTATATGAAATAGAGTCATGGGAACTAAAACTAAGTGAGATGGTTATTCAAAGTAGGTTAACACATAAGGTTAAATTGTATTCTAAATTATTAAGAGAAAGAGTCAAAATCAAAAGATTCAAGAACAAAACTCCCCGATAGAAAAGAAAGCTGATTGGATTAGAAATGCTTTTGCCAAATTTAAAAATCTGTTTGTATTATTTCTTTCTTTTTTGATATTTTGTGGCAAAAGATCAAAATATTTGTTTCCTTTATAGGTGATTTTTTTTTTAAAGAGCTCTAATTTATGATGTTCAACCAATCGATGGGGTCTTGTATTATAGCTATGGACAGTATTACCAAATGTTAGTTTATTGTTAGATACTACAAATTTTATTGTTTCAAAAATAAATAGGCTGTAAACTGTAAATATTTTCAATTTGGAAAAATCATTTTTAACTACATCAGATTTTTTGTTTAGATTCAAAATTACCGTTAATGCCCTTTTCTGTTGGAGTAATATTCTATCCATGTTTAATTTAGAGGTTGACCCATAGATGCAGATACCATAAGACACATGTGAATGGATTAAGGCAAAATATATTGTTTTTAAAGTTTCAATATTGCAAGAGGTTGCCATTTTCCGAAGAGCATACAAACCACTTGTTGTTTTTTTAACTACATGATTTACATGGTCATTCCACGTTAGGTTTTCATCAATAACTAATCACAAAAAAGTTGTTTTCTCTAATTGATCTATTAAGTTTTCTTCAATGAATATTGTGGGATTTAATTTTTGCTTAGTCTGTTTGGTTGTAAATGTTACAAAATTTGATTTTTGTGAATTCAGCAGAAGGTTTTTACTATCAAAAAAGTCTTTAATCATTGATAAGTTAATATGAGATGCAATTTCTAGGTTTTCTTTACTATTGGCAGTTACAATCATGTTAGTGTCATCGGCATAGAGACAAATTTTATTGTTCTTGTCCCATATCACCCCTGGTAGACCCTTCAGGTAACAGAGGAATAACAAGGGACCTAGAATTGATCCCTGGGGGACTCCATATTGTATGTTTAGCAAGCTCGAACTATATGTCTCCTTATATATAGGTTTTGAATTATTAAAATAATGACTTATTTCTACAAACTGTTTCCTATCTGAAATGTAAGATTTAAACCATGCCAATTCTGTACCTTTAACTCCAAGAGAGCTTAGTGTATTTATGAGAGTACTGTGGTCTACAGTGTCAAAGGCTCTAGACAGGTCCAAAAAGATACCAATGACTTTTTCACCTTTATCAATCGAATTTATGATTGACTCAACAAATTCCACACCTGCTGTTATGGTGGACTTCTTTCGTCTGAAACCATGCTGCTGCTCATCTAAGAGACAATTTATTTCAAGGTGATCTAAAAGTTGGTTGTACACAATCTTCTCTAAAATTTTTGAAAATACAGGAAGCAATGATACAGGCCTATAGCATCTGACATCCTCGGGGTCCCCCTTTTTAAAAATGGGGATTACTTTTGCTACTTTAAACTGGTCTGGAAAAATACCTGACATTAATGAGTGATTAATAATATGAGTCAAAGGAATGGATATGAATTGCCATGATGCCTTAACTATTGTGATAGGAATATCATCATTCCCGGTGGAAAGCTTATTTTGCAGTGATGATAATATTTTTCCTACATCATTTTCTGTTACTGTTTTAAATTCAAACTAGTGAACCGGTGCGGCTCAATGCCCCGCAAAAACATATGAATAAAAAAAAATCATCGTGTTATATATTGACTCGTCGAAAATTAAATACAGTAATAATAAAGCATTATAAGGGAAGCAATCCAGCCATTTTGTAGCTGTATGCGTATTATATTTAGTAAATTAATAAGTGTTCAAGTTCAAGTATGTTACAGGGTAAAGATTTTTAAAAACACATTTAACAAAACATTTTATCATATCAAACCAATAGGCAGTGAACGTAGCATATACCTAGCATATTTTGAGGGTCATAACAATGATGTTTGAAGAAAACACTTTTAAAAATAAACACTAAAAAATAATATTTTTTTCACAAAAGCACTTCCATAAATACTTACGATTTTAGTCTTAACGTTACCTTCAGTAATATTACCCTGGTCAGAATTTTCCGTAATGAATGTGCTGATCCTACTATTAAAAGATACAGCCTTACTTAAAACAACATATACAGTATATAGTTGCTCATGACTGAAATTGGTCTGGCTAAGAACATTGCTGCTCTTTAATTAATGTGCTTGTGCTGCAAATGCCAAAGATAACAGAAATTAGCATCTTTCCATTTCAAAAGGTAACTTTGTTTCAGACGGGCAAAATTTTTATCCTCGAAATCAAAATATGTCCTTACTTATTTGTTCCATGTTAGGACTTTATATTCTACTTTACATTGTTGTTAACCATTCTGATCACATGAAGCCTTGTGCCATTAATGAGGCCCTTTTTTATGTATTAATATCAATAAAACCACTGCCTCCTTTTATTAGTATAATCTGTGTCTTGGCAATCCACTGACCTCTATATAAAAACTCAGTTGGATTTTCTAGATGGGTGCCTCTGCCTTCGACTGTTTTCGAGGACCCACTCTTTCCCTAGGCATACTGACAATTAATTACCTAACTTGTAAAGTTCATGTAGTAATTCATTAATACTGTTAGTTTATAAAGAAAATTTGATAAAATGTACTTGGCTTGGTGCTTTCATAACTGCAAACTCAAAATACACCCACAAGTAAAAAAGAATCAAGTTATTGGTTAAAAAAAACAAAAAAAAACTATATTGTGTAAAAACATTATTCACATGAATTAGATGATTTGTTTGATTTCTCGATCAGCTGTTTCGTTTCTAATGAATTAATAATGTCAAAGATTTGTGATTTTAAATACATAAATTATTATAGTAAAGTTTTCTAAATATGGTAACTTATTCTCAACTAAATTTTACTATTCCCAACATGAAAATAAAGTAGAGAGATCCATTATGAGTAAAGTTTAAGGCACACAATCCTTGATTGAAATGTAGTATACATTAACAGTCATAATACACAGCAATTATTATGTAGTAGACTTTGACTATTTTCAAGTAACAAACATATGTTTCTGTAAATAAAAATTATCTCCCTTGTTATCCTTATGGAGAAATACGAAACTTTAAAGGGCCCCAGGGCCTCACTCTTTAATTATTTCCTTAAAAAGAAAGTTTCCTGCACAACTTCACGTTACGCTCTTTCCAATGACACTAAAAACATGTCTATCGGTTCAGTAGTTTCGGAGGAGTAATTGTCACAAAAATCGTGCTTGCGTATTAAATAAGTACGAGAGGTCGTCCAGTGGTCGAAACTCGACCAAAAATACGTAATGTACTCACTTATCTATTTTCACCCCACACTGTAAATAAAACATGTGATTTGAGTTTCTTCCATTTGTTTTGGTTTTCTGTTTATATTTCGTTGTTATTTTCGTTACCAGCATGGCAACGCATAAGATCCATGTTAATATTTTCAAATTTTTAAACTCATTTTTTGTGCTTATCTTTGAGCCTATTTAAATTTATAAAGGGATTCTGCACACCTACAGGAAAATAGTTTTCTAACGGTATGCGTAGATTTTCCCTACGATGAACACGAGCTGAGAAAAAAGGTTTTAAAGAAACATGCTTGCCTATTAATATATAGATAGATAGATGTGATTTTGGAAAACACATTGGTCGGATTGCAAGTGGTTGTTAAGTGATTTGATTTTATGTTGGTTATAATTAATTCTTTAACAGCATTCACAAAGAAGTTATTAAATGTTTCACAAATCATAACTGGTTCTGTAATATATTTATTTTTATAAAATATTTTTAGGTTTTTATTTATCTTAGAAGGTTTGCATGTTTCTGCATTTACCAGATTCCAAGTAGTTTTAATTTTATTTTTTGAGCTCATGACTTTTCTCTCAAAATATCTCTTTTTATTGTTTATAATCTGATGTTTGAGTTTTTTTTTCTTATTTTTGATTACTAATTTTAGATTTATATCTTTATGTGTTCTAAACTGTGATTCTAGCTTAACAATTTCAGATTGCTTTGTTCTCAACACTTCATCAATCCATTTATTAGCTTTATATTGTTTTTCAGTAACATATTGCTTTGGAAAGTGAACATCAAAATAGTATTTAAAAATATTATAAAAACTATAATACTTAGTAAAGACAGTAGATTGGAAAACAGCAGACCAAGACTCAGAACTTAAACTTTTACAAAAAGAATGTATATTATTACAATCAAACTTTCTTATTTTTTTCTGATCAAATTATTTTTTATTGCTTTAATATTCTTAAACTCCATAATTTGGCCATCGTGATCAGATATATGAGTTACTATACCCGTTACTCTAAAATGGCTAGGGTCAATATTAGTTACAAAATTATCAATAGCAGTTTCTGAGTGGTCTGTTACCCTTGTAGGGAAGTCAACCAAGTACTTCATATTAAAACTAGACAAAATATTTACAAATTTCTTACATCTACTATCTTTAGTTAATACATCTATATTGAAATCGCCTGTAATTATGATATTTTTGTATTTTTTGTTCAAGACATTTAAGAGTATTTCAAAATTTTCAAAAAACACATCTAAATTTG